CATTGACACAAGGTCAGATAAGTAATGTTTTCTGGTTCTCGCTAGTTGATTTCAATACAGAAGTTCTTGTACTATTCTGTTGGCAATTAAAAACAACGTCGATAGCAAATAATGATCATATTAAGCATTGACCATCGACGAGAGTCGCAAACAGAGTCCGAGCATTAGATCGTCGAATTTTTTGAGTACGAAAGTCGGTTTTAAGTTGGTCTCGGACGAGGATAAAATTGGCAGCTAACGTGAACCGGAACTTCATGCAAAACTAGGAATTGTTTTTGCTGCTGACAACCGAAAATAAAAGGAAACTTTCAACATTAGAGCAATAGCTTCATTCCACTATTTTCGCGTCTGCTGTCGACGATGTGTGTGTGTTGATATTCTTCTTTCTTATACTTCGCATCCACACCCTATTATAACACATCTTTACTCTTCCTTGTTTGAGAAGTATTAAAAGGATAGACGGCTTTTGATCAAATGGGGTTTGTTTCTTTCCATGACTTTCAAGTTAGGTCATGAATTCTTTATTTTTTTTGTAAGCAGAGTCACATCGGAAAAGTAATTGAAGTTTGACGTACAAATTACTGTCGAGCAAAGAATGTGCTTACAAGTATTAATCCACATTGAATACTAATTGCCAGATGCTCCGACAATTTTCTTGCTGAGTTCTTTGTGGGAGTTATTGTAGTAGTTGTTGTTGTTGTTGTTGTTATCATTATGGGCGTGGTTGTTGTTGTTGTTGTTGTTGATGTGCTTTGCGTCAGCAGTTCTCTGGCCTCTAACAGTTGTTGCACTTCTATGGCCATGGTCGAATTGTTACACATAGGCTTGTTACATGTATACGTTACAGATGATTTTATATCTGTTTCTGACACTGCCTGCGATTCTATGATGACGCCATAAGGATTGTCCGTGGAACCTTTAGGAACACAGCTGCGAATAAAGTTCGAAGAATCGCTGCTGATCAAATTGCAAAAGCCATTAGGACAGGGCACAGATTTGTCGTGATTGTCAGCACATACCAGATCAGCAGGATTAGCAGCATAATCATACAAACGCGCGAGAAGATTGCCCCATAAATCTTCATATTTGAAGATTCGCACTAGAAGAAAAAGACATTTATCAAATACGTTGCATTTTCATCGCATGACATATCAGTTTTATGAATTATTAGGTTCCTGTCAACAATAATTCTGCTTATTTGTTTCAATGTGATGAATAGATTTATTCGAAAAAATTTCCCTGTGCAAACCAAAATTAGGTATGCACTAGTCTCAAATTTTGACAGGTCAATTGGGTGTCGTTTCAACTGAGTGTTCTGTGCTAGTGGATATCCAACTAACTGATCCATAATTGATTCGGTGATCAGTGTTTCTTTTTTTGGGGCACACCATACTTATCTGAACATAATGCTGCTAAAATACTGATAAGTAACATTACATCAAACTTAGTTGTTATTTCAGTTATTATTACATGTTTAATTGCTACTAATTGTTGAATTACAACATAATTTTTTCATCTATTAATCATATTTTCTGAGGCTCCCATCCAAAAAATAGATTTCTGATATCATCTTCTTTTTGGCGACTTCTTTTCACTGCTCACAACGATTCGTCACGTTAGATTTCTCTTTTTGTTTTTCAGAGAAGACTGCTTCCTATGTGAAGAGTGAGGTTTCGATGTGGATGTTTATGCAGAGAAAACCAAGACTGACATCCTCGGTTATTTGATAATGCACTGCAGCGTAGGTAAGTCATGTACGTTTTTTTATTGAACAATTCACATTCGCGGACTAAAGACAACGTTCTCTCTAGTTTCATTTTGTGTATGATGTTCTCGATCATATTTGTTTTTGTGGCTGATTGAATAGTATCTTTCTCAAAATTGTTGGTGATCAGCAGATTAAAAGACGTGCTCATTTGTACGAAAGAACTTCGATGTGGTTTATTATAGGACCGAGTTAATAAAAGAGGCTCTCTATTCCTTTAGTCTATCATTCATGATGATATCAATTTCTTTCCTATCTTTTCTATTTGCTTTCTTCTCTCTTCTTTGCATGGGCACACGAAAAATGAATGCACGGCTTTTCTCTCGCCGTGTTCTCAGACGGCGAAAGCAGAACAGTAAAATTGAATCGTTGTGACTGATTACTATTTCTCCCAAGTCTATTCTTATCTTTTTTGTCGAGTGAAGCCGGTGATGTCCCTTAGTATTGTTCGAATATTCACCAATTATTCGTGTCATTTATATGACAAAGATTTGCACTATTATATTCTGTATCTACCTATCGATTTTAGAGAATAATATTTCAAGTGTTCGATTAATTTAAAAAAAAAACTTCATTATCTCAGTCGTTCTCTCATAGTTTACCTTTTGTGTAAATATTATTGATGACATCCTGTTCACATGAGTTGTTATTGAAACAAGTGATGTCAAAGAATCGTTCTATCTTCAAGTCGTTGAGCCAGATGCTCGTCTTATTCGTCATAATTTTTGCTGCATTTGACAATATTAATGATTCTGTGTGATTCGCATTAAACCGCGCAGTAGCTTCGTTCTTTGAATATTGAATATGTAGCGAAAGCAAACAGCTTGAACCTTTGGCATCAATAAAATCACACTTAGATATGGTGGTGTTGATGGCCTCTGACACTGATAGATCGAATCTATGATCACATCTAAAACATTGTAGAGCCGATACTGTGCGCCCGAAATGGAAGAAAATAATGAAAATTGATAATAAAAACATCGTTCTGTTATCAGTGACAATACGCAGAGTCTGATCACTTCGTTCTTATATAGGAGTGATATATAGCTGATGAGTCAGTTTTTTTCTCTCAGATTTCGCCAATGAATCGTATTCATCTAATTTCATTGATAAGAACGACACATTTGACTTTATATTGACTGAAGAAACACGTCATAGAAAAAAACAAGCATTTTCTGTATATCGCCAAGCATAGTAAATTTCAGATATTGAATATAGTCATATAACGACATAGCTTATCTTATACTATGTTCGAGCTAAAAATACAATGGTTTAACAAATTGTTGTAGAATGTGAATACTTCAAATTTTACCACACTCTATGTCGTGAACACAATCAGAAAAAAATGTTTTTATGATGATACTTATCTTTGTCTGTAATCATCGGAACGATATAGGAATTACTTCGAATTTAATCAGAATTGAATCCGAAAGTGCCAAGTAAATACAAATTATTGCAAAAAACGTTGCTCAATGTTTTCATGATCGACTCGATTGCTCTTCAACTCTAGGAGGCCTATGCAATAACTGTTATGTCAGAATTCAAATCCCTAATGAAAAAAAATACAGACCAGCCATTGATTCAGGTTTAACGAAGACACAATGAAATGGACTTCAAAGATAATGAAAAGACTTCTGCATTTAGGACCCTTATTACAAACCATATCATTTTCTGAGGACAAATCAAGGCGAAATAGCTGTTGCAATAGATAATGATAGAAGATTCTTTATCATTGTGTTGGTAATCATTCTCAAAAAAAAAAAAAAATTGGATTAAATAAAATAGTTGTTTTTATTTTTATTGCATGAATCTTTAATATATAATCACATGTTTGTCTAAAAAGAAGATGAGAAAAACTAAATCTACTGTTCAAAAATGAATATGATCATGATAAAAAAAGATTTGTATGAAGTAATATGTGCTAAACATGTCAGGTTTACAGTGTTACAAATTCAAGCGAATATCATCGTTTAACGTGGTTATCTTTCAAAAAATACACGCTGAAATTATTTTTTTGTGTTAGATGCTACCTCAATGTCTACCAAATATGTCATTGATTAAAAGAAAATATTCACATGCTTTCTCAAATTCTTTTCTATTATTATTAGTGTCCTTTCAGGAACGTCATTAAAAAGGGCGTTGTCGAAAATCCGTTTGTTTGTCTTTTATTCCATTAAGATATTTTATGTAAAATCTTTTTATTATTAATAAGTATTTTTATATAATAATCAGCCATACAGAAGTCCTTGAAAAAATGTCGAGATTCATTCCTTGGCAGGCAGATATTGGATTCATTTGAACTTTTGTTTTGCTCGAATGAGCAAAATCTAGAGAATGAAATAAATCAACACATTATCCATCTTTACTTTCGCTTTATTATTCATGAAATGTAAATATGAAGCAACGCTAAAAGTGTCTTTGCAATTAGATTTTTCGATACTGACACTAGCTGAGTCAGAGATTTCGCTTAATTGGTTGCATTGTTGATACGACAATTCTCTTGTGTAATCTCGCCTCTGCTGGTATATCAGTTTGGTAAAAACTGAAACAAAGAAAAATAGTGAGTGTCTAAGAGCTCTGAAATTTTTCGAAATTCATGCCTTTAGATACCTATGTTCACATAATATTCCATACGAAATTTATAAACTAACCGAAAATTGTTGGGAAGTGTTGTACTTTGGAATGGTTTGTTTCGATTGCTTTAATGGTAATTATTGTAACTTCCAAACTTTTCAATTTGTATAGCATTTCTGAAATTTGATAATTTGTGAGAAAAATATACTTCTTTGGAAATCTGAATACTGCTGGAAACTGAAGAATGTGTATGCCAACAATGATTAAGAAATAAGAAGTAAAACAATGTCAAAAATCCTTTCTGAGAAATTAAGATCATATTGAAACATTTATTGATTCATTCTTTGAAACATATAAAGTCTGGATTTCAGATTGATGGTAATATAAAATCAAACAATTTATGCTTTGCGTTTTTAGAAAAAAATTATCTGTGACGATAGAAATGAAAATTGGTTTTATAGAGCTTAGAGAAAAGTGTAAAATTAACTGTTATGTTTCATTATCGAAGGTAATGAAAGACAATATTTTTCTGTCATGATGGGTTGAATTATATTTATTCAATGATATATATTAAATCAATTATGAGTTCATCATTGAAGATTTCATTATAATGATGTTCATAGTTTTTCGTTTTGTGCCGTAAATTGAAACTGGTAAATTACTATTTTCTAGTCATGACGGATAAAGTATTGACAACGGTAGGATATGTGTTTGTTCTTCTAATTCGTTGATTTGTGGACTGATGTATTGATTGATTTGAATGTTTGATAAATTTTAATATATGAGCAAGTTGTTTGCGATAAGCACTCCCAGAAAGAACATAAAGAAAAAATGAAACAAAATAATCACATTGTTGCCACATGAATAATATATTCCGTATCGCTCTATTATAAGGTGTTTTTGTTGATGGATCCAATGCGTTCATACTGTAAATGACACCAAATGGGACGGTAAGAACCAGATGAACACTCACTTGCAGAAGCAACATTTGATTTAATTGTTTTTCGGTTCGACGGCCACGTACTACATTTGATTGAGGTCCTATACGAGCGACATGCTCTCGAGTAGTAGATATAGTCAGCAGACCAAATATAATCATTAAAAGAGGTGATGAAATATAATAAAGAACAATTTGACTGAATACATAAATGTTGATCAGAAGATTTGAGTATTGTAAACATGGGCCGAACGGTTCTTTCGAATAGTACATAGTCAACATTGGTAACACATAGATTATGCATAATATTGTACCAATAACAATAAATAATCTTCCTCTTCGTACTGTACTTGTGGAACGAAGTCGATGTGATCGGGAACTTGAACAATAACGATCAAATGAAGCTAATACAAGCATGATTCGTGCTAAAAGTGGTGTTAAGAATACAAAATACGTATGCATTTTACATCCGATTGGAGTATTTGTCCAATCGGTGGAAAAGCCACGCGCAAAATTTAGTGGGCATACCAAAAAAGTATACATAATACTAAAAACGGCATACGCAATGAAGTAGTGTGTACATGGTGATGAACGAAGTGCACGAGAACTTAATACACTTATATTAAGTGTATTTGCAATGACCGAAAGACAGAATTGCATTGGTTGAAGATAAACATTCACTTGAAATACTTTCTCGAGTAGTTGACTCATATTAAATTGAAATTTCTTGAAAATAAATGCATTTGATAATATTTTATATCTGCTTCTGCTCCATATAAGATTAGTTTCAACCTATTAAGTTAATGAATGTTCTTTTAGCCTATAGATTATGCTCGAAGAGAAGAAATGCATCCTATTTATTTCAAACTAAGGACATATTTATAAAAGCGTTCTTTTCATAGATCATACCATATATGATGTTTGAATTATCCCTACTGTTAGTCATGAAAATTATTAATTATGATTATCTACATGAAAGAAATATAAATGGCTTCTGCATAACCTCACAGAATTAATATGGACGATTAATATCGAAAAGAAAGGCTTTTAGTTTTGTGTTGATAAAAAATCATAGAACACGTTATTGATTCATGGAAGAAACCTGTGACTGTAAAATTCACATTAAAGAAATGATGGTAATAAAAAATCTAAGCTGTTTCTTTTTTCTTTTCCATATATTGTTGTTTTCTTTCGAATTAATAAGTATAATAAAAAAAATATTGTCAAATACACATCAGAGAAGAACTATTTGCTCAGCAAAACTTATGTGAATGACGTATGTTCATGATTTTTTTTTGGGATAAAAGACTTTTTGATACAAACATCCTATTAAAAAAAATTCCCTTTCACTTATCTATATTATTTGAACAATCAAGTATAGAAACAATATAAAAAACCTATTGTGATGTATCATAAAGAAAATAAATATTGAATAACGTAATGTTTTTTTTCGAAGCCATACATTTTGACTTGTACAATATGTATCTTAGCTGCAATTGGTGTTCTGTTAATACTAAGTGAAATTTTGTACGTTTTATCCTTCTGTTATAGTGCAGAAACTTGCATTTCGTTCTAAGTACATTTACGATGAAGTTGAGCATTTGAATCAGTTTTTTATGACAAAATGCCACTAAAAAAACATAGAAATATTGGATCATAATAATCACATGTTGTCACATGATAAAAATCAAATCTACACCAATCACACTTAGTGTTTATATACAAAGATTAGAATAAATTTCTATCATAGTTGACACCGTACGATACTGCATAAATGAGATGAACACAAATTAAAAGGGGCAGCCTTGGAATCAATTCTTCTCTTGTACGATGATTGCTTCATGATGCAATCAGAGCAATTGAAGTATTCCTATGTTGACGAATATTTTATACAGTCAATAAGGATAAGGTGTGTGGGTGTGGTTTGTGATAATGCGCATGAAGAGAAGATGCATACTGGTTTTCACTCACGTCTTTAAACTGAAACCTTGTAACCCACACACCTACACCGTCTCTTTAAAGTTTAAAATGATCACAAAAATGGTATGTTTTCTATATGAAAACAGCAAAAATCTTTCTTGTTTGGGCGAGATTTTCTGAGAATAAACACTGTTTTGTTTTGATGAAGCTAAGAGTACCGTACATTCTGTTTCATACAAAAAGAGCTTGTCAAATAGCTTCTTCTTTCCTATAAAATCGCCGACAAATAGTAGTTTAGCTTATATATAATATGAATGATTTTTAGATAGTTAATATGATATCTAACAAGAATTATAAACCATTATTGATATTTCTTGGTTCATTTAATGCTCTTCAAGGGTTTCGTAGACCTGATTTTCTTCATCAGCAATTTTTTATTCATTGCAACACACGGAATCAATGTACAAATACTCTTATGCTTCATCTAAACACAGTTACTAAAATATACATATTTCTACCACATACTGCCGTCGATCTTATTTACATATATAAAGGTTTACAATGTTCACGAAAACAAATCCATCTTTATTTTGCAACGGATGATTTAGTGGATCAATACAAAATATTGGTACCGTCCGGAATGTGCGATCAAGTGTTTAATATCAATCAAATGGAATTAAAACTTTATATAGGAGCAATGCATCATGCCGTTTGTTGCATGGCTGAGTTGAAAATACTGCTCGCGACAGGAGACGTAGACGCTAATGAGTTATTCTTGGTAATGGGTGAACTTTTGCAGCAGCTCGCAACACAAATCAATGAAGATATCAGACAGATATCTGGTCTACCCGAACAACCGGTCGAGTCTGACGAAGGGTAATCTTTATTTCATTAAGACAGATCAATATAACAAAATTGATTTGTTTTCATATTTTGTTTACTGCACGTAAACGATATGGATGAATGTCTTGTTTGACATCATTCAAGAAACGATGTAGCAGGAAGTTCCTTCCAAACGGAACTATAAAGATCAAAATCATTCGACTAATCTCTAACCTTATCAATATGTTATAGTCGTATTTTTGTCGCCAGACCTGAGTTTTACCAAACAAAATTGAAATGAGTCAAAGAGTTTGATCCAGATTGTACCTATCCATAGTAAAATGAGCGAATAGTCACCACCATGATGTATTAGTTGATGAACTTGTTATTATCTACTACAGTGTAATATGCATGAAACATAACATGAAAAAATCAATCTACGCATAGTGACAAATCTTGTGAAATTCTTATAAATAGTACCAGCAATATATTTTATCGTATCAGTTTCTTAATAGTCAGATTCCAAGTCGAAGCAAATTACAGATTGACTTTGCTACATCGGTTGTGGAACATTGATATATTCATTTTCGATCCATCCAATGCTTGTTTATTTTAAGAGAACTTTTTTAAAAAATGAATTTATATCGAAATGTCTATAGGAATTGGAAGCATAAATATACGTTGAATGAAATTATAACAAATGAAAAAAAAAGATCAAACAAGTAATTAAAATTATATTATGAAAGGCACTTGATCGTTATTCATCAAGTGAACATCAAATTACGGTATAATCATGATATTTTAAATAAGCATAATACTGAAAGCTTCTCAATTTTATCCGATCATTGTCAGTGTCATTTCATAAAGTTTGAACATATTGTTATTGATTATTATTAAAATGAGTCCATCTAAAACAGACCATATGTACAAGAACTCTTCAATATATGAAAAACTAATCAACATCCCATTATAGATATACCAGCAGATTTATTGTTTTTGTTTAGGAGCTACTCAACAATTTCGAATTTTATAGAAAAGAAAAGCGGACTATGCTACACAAAGACAAAATGAAATCATCGAAATCATTATTTGTTTCTGATTACTCAGTACGTTGTAACATTTCACGACCCCATTCAATTATTGTTTGAATGTCAGGTGCTGTTCGGACGCTAGTGCCAATGTCTAAACCATATGAGTTCCATTGATCTAGGGTGAGTCGTGCACTGCTACCATTGACTTTGCATATAAATGCGACCTGTGTCTCAGATGGAATATAAATTTTGTTAGATACCAAATAAGGTACGAATAGATCGGCTGTATCACACCTTTCAATATTGTACGGTATTGAACTCTGATAGAGTACGCAGGTGTTGTTGATCCAAGTTTCATTCCAACCACTAGAACCTCGTGAAGGTGCATAATCACAGAGGCACATGTTACTTCCGAAGCCGCCTTGATTGACATCCGAATACACATATATCTCATGATGATCTGTTTTTGAATGACCTAAATAATTTTTTTTACCGCCATACACTTGAAAATTATAACTATCCTCATAGAAACAGCTACCATCATCATGATCGATGGGCCATACAGAACGGTAATTATTGAATAGAGTATTATGGTGAATATAACTTTTATGTTGCCAAAGTGAAGGTAAACCTGACTGTACAGCATCAGTCAAAAATGGTTGTCGATCCCATGAATTGATGGGTCCATTATCACTTGTTTCTCGAACAGTATTGAAGATGACATTCCAACTAAGAGTATGATTACCATAGAAACCGTCATTCACATTGATGGCTGCCCGTGGTATATTGAACATGAGATTGCCAATAATAGACACACTTCGACTCACAGAAATTAGTACAGGTGATGATTGTTTGATATAGATACCGGTTTCATGAATAAGATTTGACTGTATGAGTGTATTGGCAGGCTGGCTCGCCACACTAAAACCATCGATTCCATTCGTACTACCAACAAGAATGATTGCTGAATCGGCTAACCATACAAATTCATTCAAAGTAATCGAGGTAGCATCATTTTAATCAATCAAAGCCATACCATTGCTACCCAATTGTGTGAATACATTGCGTGTAATGGTAATATTTCTTGTATTTGTTAAATACATGGTACCACCTCGATGAACAGCCCAGTCACCACCACTCGGTACCATATAATCGCCCATATATGTATTACTTGTCTGTGTTAGTGTCAAACCTTGTATCAACACATTATGAACAGAATTTTCATCGCTACTGCCACTAATAGAAATAAGACACGGAATTTGACTAGCGACAAAAACTTGAGGCATTGTTTCGTTTGGCATAAAATAGAGAGTACGAGTATCTTTGTCCAAAAACCATTCATTTGGCGAATCCAGCTCTTCGAAAATATTCGCAATGTAAAATGCACCACCACTACCCGAACCACGTGCTTCTTGGAAACCTCCTCGACCGAACATGATTGTGTTTTCTGTACTATTAATCGATGCTATTTCAAATACCCAACTGCCCCAGTAACCAGAATGAAAAGCATGCACAAAACCGGTCATTGGCTTACTCCAGTTACCGATATGAGGCAATGCACCATTTTTCACAGTAAAACCTCGAGGAACAGCATAGTTGCTACCAGCAGGTGGTGATGCAGTACTCCAAAAGTTTTTCGGTGGATTGAAAACAGAAGCACCACCACCTAAACCAAGTTGGAAATAAGGAAACACTGTACCGCTTCGAGAAGGATCTTTTACATGAATTTCCACACTTTGGTTAAAAATTGGTGGTATCCAGCTTTGTGAATCGAATGAAAAGCCTGGATCTTTTGCGTATAAGCCTTGAGTGGAAGGATCACCGTTCGGATATTTAGCAACGATAGCTCTTCTACCATCAATATATAATTCATTGAACAAATCAAGATTGACAGAAGATGGTATCTGAGCCTTCATAATTGTACCACTAGCTGCTATTTTGGCATGGACAGACCATTGTAATTTTAGTAATGTGCCACCACTCAATATGACGCGTTCATCCTGATAGTTTTCAATTACAAGATTACTATCATTAGTTGTTAATGCAATGGCACCAATTTGACTACTTGCTGTAGTAGCATTTGTACCCAAATAGTAAGTTCCTCCGCGTATAGTCATGCACAATGTCTTATCACTACCATGTGCAGCACGTAGAGTACGTGTAAGAAGTAAGGCTGCCAGGATAGTTTTCATTGGTCGTTCGAATGTTCCATCAAATATGTCATCACCTTTTACATCATGTACAAAGACTGTATGATGACAAGCTCTTCGTTTTATTTCTGGTACAGTTTTAAATGGTTTTACAGGTTTTGTCGGTTGATAAACAGTATTTGAGGTACTGTTGCATTGATTCATTTGAAAAGCACTTTGACTGAGTGCTGTCCAATTGGTTTTCGAGGGCGCGGGTGCAATGTAAGCAGCCATTTCAATAGTGAAGGCTGGCAGTGCACAGTCGTATTCGGGTAGAACATTTGGATTACCGACTGTACTATAGCGAGAATGGTATGACTCGGTAAAATTTTTGACGTACAACTACCATACGTGATACTTGCAAAAAATATCCCTATTATTATTACAAAATACTGATGCATGTTGATTGTTTTATGTCTGTGAATGTATACGAAAATAGGTGGTATATTTATGCTTGTTTTAATAGTCGACCTTCAGATCAAATCTGCGTATATAAATGTATGATAACATGTCTTATCTTTAGATATGCATAGATAAAAAGAAGCATGCCGTTGCTGCCCATGTTTGACACACAAGAACAAACATATCGATACAGTGGTTTTGAGTGACAGATATCTTTTATTTATAGAATGTGTGCTGAACTTTAATTATTATACATTTTATTCTATTAATCACAGTAATTATCATACTTGTAGTAATACAGTGCGAGTCAAAAGTCTGGCACCGCTTTTTTGTTTTGAGTCGTGTATTAAAACTGCATAAGATTAATTTAGTCCAATTATATGTTTGGATAGCAGAGATCGAGTACTATATATATATACACCTGTTCGATTCGAAAAGCTCTTGAATATGAAATACAATAAGAAAAACAAACTCCAGTACTAAGAAAAAAATGACACAAAAAACTACAAAATGATATTGTTGTTATAGGATACTTCCATGGTCAGTTAACCACAAAAAATACAAAGTATGCAGAAAATTTTCCATTTTATTAGACTTTGTAGAGCTTTTTTCGCTGATCATTTTGGTAAAAAAAACATTTGAATTTCATTGAGGAATGACGGTATTATAATCAAAATATTAAACACTGTGAAATACCCGGTGTTCCAAAAATGTTTCCAACATAGTATGTTTTGCGAATATCTCTGCAAAGATAAATGATAAAATCTTGGTTTTTATTTCAAAAGATGCGCCGTGAAAAGATTTACAAAATCTGTAAGAACAAACCCTATTGACTTCTTTTGATAGTTTCTTCTTATATTCAAAATGAAAAAAGATCCATGATAGTGGTACTTCCCACCGTATTTAACATAATAAAAATGTTTGGAAGGCTGTTATATTTTGCATGTATCTCGGCTTAAGAAAATGATAGTATCTTGATTTTTTTTCAAAAGATGCATCGTCGAAAGCTCTACGACAGCCGTATAAAGAAATTCCTATTGCACAGTAAAAATCCTTTCAAACATTTTTATTACCAATTTGTAGTTTTTTTTTGTCATTTTTTTCTTAGTACTGAAGTTTGTTTTTCTTATTGTATTTCATATTCAAGAGTTTTTTGAATCGAACAGATGTATATATATAGTACTGGATCTCTGCTATCCAAACATATAATTGAACTAAATTAATCTTATGCAGTTTTAATACACGACTCAAAACAAAAAAGTGGTGCCAGACTTTTCACCCGCACTGTAGTTAAGAAGATTACTTCGATAAAAGAAAGCTTTGCATTAATAATATTAATGTACAATAAGAATTCCGAGCAGTAAATCTTAACTTCATATTCAGATTACCAGAAAATCAAAAGAGTGTCTTTCTCATACTAACTGGTATGGAATACCAATATCTGGTAGCAATGATAACCGATTTGCTTAAAAGTGCATATATTTATGTATACAATTAAAGAAATGAACAGTTACTTTCATCAGATAATAAACACCTTTGTTTTTCAACGAACAATGTTAAAGATCTATTATATTCAATTGCAAGAGAAATTGAATTAGATGAAGACATTCCTCTTGCAATCAGTTTATTTACCTATAATGCGACTAATCCGAAATGATCAGTACGTGATCTTTGTATGGATCATCATAGTGCAACTTTTGTTTGGTTTCAACAATTCATCGATGCTATTCGTCAGTTGCCACACACAGCCGAAGCTAAAGAAGAGATGATCGTTTTCTTGCATGAATATTTCAATGATTGTACTGAAGAACAAGAACAACTCGATCAATTTGTTAATGAGTACATATCAACATAAGCGATTGAATAGTATACAAAGCCCACATTTATATTTCGAGTTCTCAATCAAGCTCTTAAGGCTCCCTAGAAAATCGAATTTTTCAAAAAAAGTATTGAAGTTCAGTTTTTATCATAGGAAGATGCAGCGAAGCTTCCTCTTGCAGAATATATATGGCTTTTTGAAAACTGACCAGATTTCCAAAGACTTATCACATGAAACTTTGAGTCGGCTGCCATATTTTCGTGCTGTTTAAAGTTTTTTAGTTTTGGAAAAACTGTGTTGCTAATTGCATTATCATTGAATAGAACATTTTTATACTAACCAGCATGTCAGATGGCGTTAGTTACCTTCATCAATTACGTATTTTAAACGATCCATTGGAATATATTAAAAATATACCATTGCAATATGATTTGTTATAGATTTGAATGAAAAAATCTGTTTCTAAAACTTCTTTAGCGTTTTTCTCAAAACACGGTTTCTCGGCAGGAAAATTGAAATAATTCCCACTCGACTCGGCTCGAGATATAGCCGATGTTATTTTTTGGTTTTAAAGGCCTTGATCAGAGCTAACTTTTCATTCGACGGATTTTTGATACTTGATTTCTGGACTGAGAAAAGTGGGGTTTACTGTCGATCGAGGCACTTTTCTTAATTCTTGTTTTGAACACCATGTTCACAAAAATGCCAATAAAAGATGAATGGAAGAGTTTCAAAATTCCGTTCGATGAAAAGTTGCGTACAGAGGCTAGCTTTAATTCGAAACCAGTTCGAGCTCTGTATTCCTTATAACGACTGAGTTATTTCGATTCTTCTGGAAAGTAGGAAAATCGAGCCGAAAGTTCGGTTTAGTCAGACATATCAGGCTGAAATTTTTACCACAAGCATTTCTCACTAGGACCAATCGTTTCTGAAAATTTCAGCCCAGATGGTCCGTTCTAAGTGGAAAATCAATTTTGAGGGCAGTCCCTTAATGCTTGTCGTCAAATGACTCTAAGTTTTATTGTAACTCAAGATATTATGAAAACTGTGTATGAACAAGGTCATTCTCATATATAACTCGAACAAAATACATTGACACATGCGTGTTTCAACGAGATTTCATCGTTAACCTCAATAAATGATGATATTCAGGATCAAGTAGCTTTGGCTCATCATACTATTGTTCAAATTTATGAATCTGAAGGAGTTCTATTTTCATGCACTTGAATCATCTCATACGGTACAGAACATTTGGACGGCTTTGCTTTAAATAAAATTCGAGCGTCGATCAACACACAGTCGCTCAACTTTTGAATGATGTCGCAGAAATTCATGATAAAAAAAGCACTATGCATTTGCATTGTGGTATTATGTTCAAGCAATTGAATTCACCGAAGGAAATACTGTCATAATACAAGAATACAAAGAAAAATTATATCAAAATCCTTACGATCTGATGTGTTCATATTTACATGTAGCTCTAATATTTGTTTACTAAGTAAGGTAGATTGGTTATATCGATGGGTATTAAAAACAACTAAAAACACCAATCGTTTTCTACTATGAGTTCAATTGACTGTCTCTTCATATGTCAAATATTATCTTAACTGTAACTTATATAATCAAACTATCATTGCTTTCCATCTTTAACTTAAGTTCAATCATCAACCAAGTCAAGACTTTAGAAACATTAACTATTTTTATTTCATTACGAACGAAGATTAACGAAAAAAATATAATTTCTTTACAACGTTTCCATCTACAGATGATAGATACATAGTTTCTTCTAACATCTAGCAAAGAGTTGAATATTTACGCGACTATAAATAAATCATTAGAATCAGATGCTAATATTTTATCTATTAAGTTCAAATTCTTGAAATCTGCCGTCAACCTTCATTCAGATAATAAGAGATAGCTACAGCATGCTAGGTACCTCTACAGTTGCTGAATGTTGGTTTTTATCAACTAAAACTAGTAGCAATAATAGACGAACTAATTTAGTCACTGTAAAAAAGCCAACAAAATTTTGTTTTCTGAAAACCACAGTTGTACATGATTATTAAAACTTGATCATCGACTGCTGATAAAAAAATCAAAGAAAAATGAATAAACGAAATATTGGCATTGTCAACCTATAAACTTTAAATCTGGTAGTATATATAGCTAAAGAGATTAGATGAATATGAAGTCCATTTGAAATTATTATTAAACGATTCAGTGTTGAATTTTGCATTGAATTAGATGTAAAGTTTTTATGAAATGAATAAAAGTCGATCTAGCTTTTATTGTACTCTGTCCCTTTTATTCTCCTATAGTTGCACATGTGAAAACTAGCACAAGTGTTACAGTAGTCTTCGTTGCATCATTTGATCTCATCCATCTTGAGAAATTCTTAGTTTTAGTTATACCGTCTATTATCAATCTACTGTTAGCCAATTCAGTATGAATAAATTGACAGATGATGGCTAAGTCTTTTATAAAAATAGAGTGTATATTCAACAAATAAAAACTTACATTCATAATTTAATCATTATTCTCTAGTACCATTGTGACTATCTATTTAAACTCAAAAAAATTATCCTGCCAACTTTTAAATTTCATTGATCGAATTCTGTCATAACTTTACTTCTTCTATAGTTTCAGTATTTTCAACAACAATGAATAAAATGCATCTACTACTGATATTGACAGTGCTTTATTTTTTGCATAAATTGATCGTTTGAACATATGTATATTACCTTCTTTTCGATTGTTAACCAATGTCGCTTTTAGTTAAATGATTTTTTACAAGAAAGATATATTTTTTATAAAAATAATTGTTTGTTTGACAGTAGACTCACAATTCAGTTTCCATTAGAACCGATACAACATTGTTACTATTCCAACTTTGTTGTTTCACTTTATTTAATTTGCTACAGGGTAGAAATCACTGCATTGATAGTCTGAATTATTGAAATGTACGTAAACCACAACATACGTTGTATATTCTATTGGAGATATGAAATTTGTTTGCTTCTTTCATTTAAAATACTTATCTAATGGAATCAACATAATGTGTCTTATTTTTTCATCACTGATACAAAAGCAAAGAAACTATTTTTCCAGCTCATCATTCGACAGTTCTGACATCAAAACTGAATTTTGCATGTGAAATGTCTCTTAACTATCAGTAGACAGTTCAATTAAATTCAAGTTCGTTTCATCTTATACATTTTGATTAAAAATGACTAATGACCTTCAGCATCAAGTTAAATTAGAATTATGCGCTTGCTACTGAATAAAGATATTATTTTATCGAGAAATAAAAAGGTGAGATTATTTCTAGAAAATCAAGATGAAATTGATCATCAATTGCTTGATGACCACATATCAGGATAAATTAATATAATAACAAATGCAGATTTGTTACATCTAACTCAATCAGATATCTGATAATTACAACATTTGTTGATGTAGTCTATTCGAATCTTTGAATAATTTTTCTCCATAGTTTATATGCAAAAAATTGTCGGATATTTATGATTGAGGAACATAAGAGTCTAGACAAAATCATTTGTACACACGTAATCTAAATGAGAAAAATGTATAACGAGTTCTTAGACAAGCTTAATGTTTATTATTTTTTTCGAACAAAATAATTTAGAATTTGTAGTTTTAAATTCGATTTCATCCATGAGTAATAATCATGTCTAATGGAAGTAAAAACTAAGAGTATTTAATATGTTTTCACCATTTTTTTTTACAACTACATCAATTTGATTCAAGATCTATTTGCTTGCAAACATTTACATTATGAAATTCAGAGAGATTTCTCGAAATAGAACTCATCAAGTTTTCGAAATTACACACTATTACTTTATTTTTTGACGATGTTTGAGACCATCCAATGTGTCAAGTTCGAGATGACATAAGATATTGGAACATATAAATAAAGTATTATAAAAATTGATTAATGACAATTGAGTAAAAATACGCAGAAACATGACGTAGATCATTTTCTTTGATTAATTAATCTGTCAAAGTTTGAGATTCTAAAATGATTGATTGTTATTTTAATTAAAAAAACGAACCTAGTCTAAAATCACAAAAGTTGTCTGAAGATAATGAATGTTCCAGGATAAATTGCACTAAATCTCACTAGACTATTTTTCTTCGGTTATATCTATAAAAAAAAAAAGATTGCTTTATATGCCAAAAGATAGAAAATCTAAAGCTCTATTCAATTATGTTCATCGTAGACCTGGATGTATTATTATAAAAGAAAACGAAAATGAAAAGTAAACATAGTCGAAGATACGCACTGCGACGTATTACTAACAACTTGAAGGTTTTTTTTGACAATTTGTTAACTTTGATTAATTAATGGTCACATCTTTGTAGCAAGATCTCTATTCAATTATTGGTTAAATTCGTGCAATATAGAAAAGTTTATCGAATGAAAAACTTCACTATTCCAGCACTTACAGTGTTTAGTAAAAACATCGAAAAAATCTTCCTTACACCTAATTACGTACTATTGGATATTTTTGAATTTTACTGTAAATTGTTTTAAGGTAGTACATAGATCTAAAAGAAAATACCTTTTTATAAAGCCTAAATCCCTCTATCTTCTAGTATGTAGAGGAAATTTTTGCTACGAATATGAGGAAAAAAAAGATGAAATAAGATTTCATGCAAATTATCTGATAACGTCTTATTATGTGTAAGGAAGGTTTTTTTGATATATGATAAAATGATTCATTCCTTTAAGATTAAACTTTATTTTCAAAATATTTCTAAACAGTTTTCTTAATTTTAGATATATTATCGATTTCGATGAATTGTATACAGCTCTGCACAAAAGTAGCTGTTCTCCATAAAATGCTACTGTTCACGAAGATATTGAACTGATGTTTGGGGTAAATGCGTGCGAAAATAAACCTTGATTGTAGGCACAAATTCGTCCACTATCGATTCACATGTACTGAAGTTATAATTCAGACATCATCGTCTTCTTGTAATCACTTTATATTAACCATGTTGTCACGAATATTTTCTTTGAACTCATTATTTGAAAAGCTAATGTCGTTGTTATCTCAAGTTAGAATTCCTTTAGAAATTATTTTGAAGTAACTCAGATATTGTTGTCTCATTAAGAATATCTGTTGAAGAGTAGATAATGGTTTTTACTACGATGAATCTTTTCCACGACGAATGTGACCAATTCATTTAAAAGTTTTAGTAAAAAGTTCCTATCAGACTATAAATCTGTTCTGAAAGCTTTACAGTCACAACATTGAGTGAAGTCAAGTTAGCGCTACAACATAGGTTCACTAATTGAGAACGTGCTAATTACTAATATTTAAGTCATAAATAATAGATGTTGTCTTCATGTTTAATTACAGAATCTACATTTCAGAACCCTTCTAAAATATCTTCATTTTCTTTTAAACAACTTTTAAATACTTTCACAAGTCAAAAAAGCAAGATAATTATTAAAAAATTCTGAGGTTTTGAAAGCTATTTTCCTAATCTTTTCATCTTAATGTCTAGTGTTTACTAAAATCTAAACACTCAACGTTACACTGATACAGTTAATAGAACACAAAATGAAAATATTTAGTTAATTAAGAGTAAGAGTTTGTTCAATTTGGATAACAATCGATGAGATTGTATCTGTAAGCCATTGAATATCATGTGTTTTAATTACAGCTTCATGAATAGCAAAGAGACATTTGATAAAATTAGATAAACATGTAACAGCCTGTTTTAAATCATATTTATAAAGTAAATACTGCCATGCTAATTCAATATATGTATCTTGAATACGTAAGATTTCTTTGATATTTGATAAGTTTATTGGAGGATTATTTGAATAGACTGTATAGTGAGTTGTTGAAAATGAAAGAATAGCAAGAAATAGTTTCACAATGATCCCATCAAAATCAAACCGATCTGCTAAACGCTTAGCAACAGATATTACACTTGGATGAGTAAGCATTTCAATAACATCATAATAAATAGGATAATCCATTAATTGAATTTTATAGATAATCAAACTTGCAGACACACCTGCAGTATAGTTAAACGTATCATGTAGTAAAATAGAACGATCAACTGCAGATAAAGAAAGAAAATCTTGGTTGTTTTTATATAATAATTGACATTTATCTAATGACATTTGAATCAATTGCTTTATTGGTTCTTGTTTAAAGCGTAATTTAAATGGTAGAACATTTTGCTCAAGCATGAAACGTTCACCTACTGATAATCCACTATATTCATCATAACAATGTGATAAATTAGAGAGTAGATTCCATTGATCAACAGTTAATGTCGATTTATCTGATTGTAAAAGATTCAAAGTAGGAAACTAAACATATAAGAAAAAAAAACAACCATCAGTAAAAGATAGACAATCTTTGAAAGTCTAAAAATGTATTCGATTCTCGTTAGATATAAAGTGATAAGACAGCAAGATTCGAGTGAAAATGACTTCGAATTTCATTCATTCATCGTTGAATAGAGTTTGATATGCTGATCATGAATATGTAGATTTTGGTTTTTTTCTATTGTCTGATGAAAAAAGCAAATTCAAAAATACCCGAAAGATGTAAAAATCTACAAAATAGCTAATTCGGAAAAGATTCATCTTTTCCAACTATTTTTATTACCGAAACATCACAAACTATATTTTTTCCTTTTACACATTTCAAAACTAAGTAGAGCAGTCATATTTTACCTACTTTAAAGTCAAAGATCTCTATTCGGTATGAGTGTGTCGAAAAGGGATAGGTGATGCTACATTGGGATCAGTATGGGCCATTCCGGTTCCGGTCCCAAAAATGGATCCATACTGCTGATTCCAATTCTAAATAAATGCGAAAACCTCGGATTTAAATCCGAGTGTTATGTGTACTTCAAAAAGTGAAAAGGTATATTCACTGTGTTTTTTATCACTAAATTGCAAGTNGAAATAATAATTTAGAAAATATGTGATAACTACAGTTTTTGATGCTGATTTGCGAATATTTTCTTTACAGCTTTTGGAATAAAGAAGAATTTTAACTGAATAATCAATGATTATTCTTAAAGTTATAGTGAGTTTCAGCAAAATGTGACATTAACTGTATAGATGTTTACTGAGAACTTGGCTTCTTTGTTTTCAATTTTAGCCAAGAAAAAATTTAATTTTTAATACAATATTTTATCAATTTTATTCTTTAGAGGACGACATATAATATTACAATAAAAGCAAATCAATAGTATCCAGTCAAATAGAGAAATAGTATGTCATTCCTTACTGACTTACAAGCTTATTCTCAATCAAAACTTCGACCTACTAGCATGCGCGTTGTAAATTCGTTAGGTCAAATCCATCACGAATCCAAATCTGAAGATGGAACGTTTCAAATTCATGACAGACCAATCAATTCTAACAATCTTTTTATGATAATTGATAATTCACCTGATGAAAAACTGCATCATGTCATTGATGGTGTTTATATTGGTTCACAAGATTCAGCGTTTAATTTAACAGCTCTCAATGAGTGCAAAATTACACATATACTTAATGTAGCTACTGGAATCAGAAATGCATTCCCTGATCAATACAAATATTTAAATATTGAATTATTAGATGTACCTGAAACAAATATTCACAAAGTGTTTACACGTACAAATGAATTCATACAAACAGCCATTGCTGATAATGGGCGCGTTTTAATTCATTGTAATGCTGGTATTTCGCGTAGTGCTAGTATTGCTTTAGCTTATTTAATGGGAATACATCGCATGAAATATGAAGATGCATATATATTATTGAAAACAGCACGTTCGAATATTAAACCAAATGATGGATTTGTACAACAATTGAAACAGTATGCTGAAGAAATAGCGCAGACAAATGAAAATAAGGGACTACTACCAAATGATATTAATCAGACTTCCAATGACAAATCATGTGATATATAGGACTACCGATAAAGATTCAAAAATAAGATTAATCTTATTTTCATTCCGCAATACTTATTCTCTTTTTTCATTCACTGACTATTCATACATCGTTATTGTTAAAAAAGAAGTTCAGTTAAGAGGAAAAAGTCTCACTTGAATGGATGGTCTTTGTATTGTATTTAATAATAAACCTGTTAGCGCAATCTCTGCGAGATTAAAATGTGACATAACGACGTAGCTGTTGTTACTATTCACAGGAACAATGCTTTATTCTATCTACTTCCAGACATATGTCTTCAGCATTCTTTTAAGGTGTGAGTTTGATTGAGAGTCTGAGCGTAAATCTTCTTTTCATCGACATCGACATCCACATTTGCACTCATACCCCGCAACAAGCCTACATTGTCTATGCCATAGTTAATAACTACGATATGCAGTCGATTGCTGTTATTGAAGTCTGCGATGACGACCGAGTAAGGACGAGATTCACCTCGAGTACAGAAAAAATTTGTTTGAATTTCAAAAGTACCATCGGTAAATTAGAAAACAACGTCTATGTTTTCAGTGGCTGAATTTGTGATGACAATGCCTAGCCAATTAACCTGTTTCAAGTTAACAATCACGAAGATAGTCAATGTCAGTTATACCCATTGATTTATCCGATCAAGTTACTTCGAAGATTTCATTAAAAACAACTGAAATCTGTTCAGAAAATTATTCTTATATATAATACCTTTTGATAAAGACTATGGTTTCTCGCTATTATAACTCTTTAATTTAGACCAGACAATTGCTCATTTGATGGAACAGATACTTTGAATGTATTCATTTGGCATATTTTAGAACCAAGCGTTACGAAAATCTGATGGAATAAAATAGATGACTTTACAGAGCGAAAAAAAGAACGAATAAAGACTTTTCAAATTTTACGTGCATATTACTAAAAACTAAAGATTCAAGGACTCGTAATCGGTACATTTGCTTCCGGAATAGCCACAAACAATCGAGATATGTTTTGCTATTTTCTGATTGAAGTTTTTTTTTAAATCGTAACTTTGAAATGTTTCATGTGAACGAAGTATCAGTATTAATTGTATAATATGTTGATATTGATTAATAATAATGATTTGTACTTTATTACTGACATTCATGACTATTTCTATGAGAAAGATGCATTAGAATATTTTTGTTAACTCAGAGGTTTGTATAATTAATCGAGAGGTTAATTGTACTGTTACAAAATAAGAAAAGAAAACAGTAACTGGCGTCGGTCCTGTCAGGTCTGATCGATTTAGACTAGTATCGACAAGGGGAAAATTCTATCCATTGCAAAGCTACTACATCATACAACAAAATCGCCGTATACGACGCCGTACGTTCAAGCACGGATAGTATGCACGAGTGTAGTGCACGATTGAATTTAGTCGTAATTTAATAGTGATTCAGATTTTACTTATGAACTACATAGCTTTTTCGCTTTGAATTCATTAAAAAAAAGAATGGCAAGTTTTTTTTTTTCGATAAATATTGTTATTTTTCTTATTTAGATGAAAGAAACAACAAATAAAACAGTAAGTATTTATTTTAAATTAAACGATTTTCTTTTCTTTTATTGATATGAAATCGAACGACATATTGAATCATAGGTATTCATATAAAATAAATAACATTATTTCTCTTATTTAGATTAAATGAATCAACCGATTAAATAGTACGTATTTATTTTGAAATAGATGATGTTATTTTCTTTTATTTATATGGATTCAAACAGTACATTAAATCGTAAGTATTTATTCTAAAATGAATAATTTTTATTTTTTCTAGATCAATCTGAGTATAATATTAAACGCAGAATATTTTTTCAAAATATAAGATTTCATGTGTTTATTGTAATAACAAAGGTTCCTCCCTCTTGAGTGAGAAGGAGTATACGTAAATATGATTGCATACCACATCGTATACGACTGTCGTAATGCCCACCCTGGAGACCATGGATATGAATTCTTTCGAAATTTTCTTAGTGTCATGAAGACCTACTCATTAACAAGATACATGGTCTAACGATGTCCAACACTTAAATATACTTTCTTCTAAATTCTATATTGCAAAACGCCTGCAATAAAAAATGAATTAGATATGGTAGATGTACAAGCTAGCCTCGAAAGCCACGAGAAAACTTATTAAATACGAAAGAAACACTAAGTTGTTCGCACATCTTTGGCAAGATTGAACATATTTATTATAGGTCCTTTGGTTATTGATAGTATTCTGATTGACATGGAAACATCAAAATATGCGACAACATACACAAAAAGTATGCTTTTTCAATTCCCAACACAACAGTATTCTTTACACAATGGAGAAGACACTTCTTGTTTCATTTCTGTCACTTTTTCTCTTCACAAACTGAGAGAATTGTTGATACACGAGTATGCACAATAAGTGATCAAAAACAAATCAATACAACGTCGATACTAGCTTTATCAACTGATGGATTTTAAGAATTGTTTATCGACTTAAATCCTTCATAAAGTTACTGAAGTATGATATGATATTTTTCGAACCTCTATCTGAAACAACACACTTCTGACCAAATTATTAGTTGCACATTTATTTTTCCTTCAGTTTTAACTGTCAAAATTTATGAATAATTTACTTATTGATTGATGATAATATCTCAAACACATTGCTCGTAAATATGACTAATGTATGAATTTATATCGTATAGAGTCGAGAGACTCATACCTGAAGTATTTAAAATAAGATATTTTTCATCGACATAAATTATTCGAAAACGACTTGAGTCTAGTCTTGATTGGTGTTGACTTGACCATCAATAATATGAATTTTTTGAAACGTCATTTTACAATTTTTCATATGAAGGAAGTTGACTATGAGTTCACTGTCGTTTCAATACGATGACTGATTTATTACAATAATCGAGTCTCCTTTTTTTTGTATAAAAAATGACAAATATGATACGATGCATAGCAGATTTTCAAAAAGCTATGCAGCACATGAAATATATCATTAGATAACATGATTTTATTCAGTTGTCGATGCTCTGTTTTGAAATATATTAAAGTGAAAGGTTTCGTTGTAATTGTACCTCAATAGCCAATTTAATATAATTCAAATGAATGTCTCAGAGTACTGGAAAATATTTGAAGATTTTTGTTTCATCGTTTCAAACTGCTATTCAAAAAACTATCTTCATAGTGCATCTGAAGCTAAGAAGAGACTTTCACGATAAATAAAGATCACTAAAACTTATCTCGATAAACACAAAGAAAATATTAAATACTGAAAATTCAAAATCTTCTTTTGTATAATTCTCTTATTAAACTACTCCATAACTAATTATTTGATTACCAAGATAAAAGATAGCATGATTCTATACTACGCATATTTGCTTTTATGATTGGCAAATATAAAGAACGAACGAACCTATCGCAGGGAAAAGAAATGACAAAAAAAATACGAAGAGCAAAATGCATATAAATACTGTGGATTATTTGTATCATTGGCATACAAAAAATCGGGTACACAAAATAACTGAATCCTAAGTAAGTGATATTTTTGTTGGAGACTTAAATCATACCTGAATCTAAAGGAAACCCATTTAAGTTCTGTACAACTGATACAGAATAGCAACAGCTTATTTTCGTTGGCATAAGTATGAGCTAAACAGGATCCTTTCTCTCCTCTCCTTTCCAACTACGAAAATCGAAATTGTTCAACTTTTGATTTTTCATTACACATATAGTCTCAAAGTGTCCCCTGTCAAGTGCCATATAAATGAACGCTCTTTGCTCTAGTTGATGCATTTATTAGATACAACTTTTGAAATCACTAGCAGAACACTCACACTATGATTATTCTATTCTATGCAAATTTCTTCTAATGATGATAATTATTTCTCATTATAACTGTACTTAGATCATGGATCATGAATTTCGTCCTCTTAGCATCACTGAACACGATCAGTTATCAATCAATTCAATTGAAGAAACTAAGTTCTAATACATAAGAATTAGGTTTTACTCAAAAAGTGCAGAATCTCCATCATTTATACGGCACACTATGCTCGATCGAGCTGAACCTTTTATCAGAGGGATTAAAGTAAAGTCAAACAACGTTGACACCTCAAACAGTCTCTAGGATATGTAAAAAATAATTTCAGTTGTATGAGACATGTTTCGACCGAGAAATCGGTGCGACTGGATCGGAGAATTCATTTTTATTCATTGTGACTACGGAATCTTCGAGAAGAAAGCAATTGGAAATTTTCGGTCTAAAACAACTTCCGCTTGATTCATCGAGATCTATCTAACATGGAAGTTTCAAATTTTTTTTTTAATGAACTGTTCTCCAGAAATCTTGGATTCTGATGGTGTTTTCACCTATGTTTCTAGTAGGAATATTAAGGCTTGAAACGATTAGGACAAACAACGTTGCAGTTAAAATCGTGTACAAAACATAATTCAATTCACAGTTATGTATTGAGCGAGGGTCATACGCGCAGAATGTTATCAACAAATTTAACTACTTTTCTGCAATTATTAGAAGCGAAAATATCCCTGAAAAAATTGGACATAGATCAAATAGAAAATGAAGCTCACCATTGAGTAATATATTCCTATTCTATTGAAAGAAAGCAAAAAAGCTCTCGACAGGTTCATTGTTTTCATATTATTTGCACGAATGCGTTTGATAAGTTGCGCTTGCGAAGATATTTTTCCCCCACTGACTTTATTCAAATGTTGGCTTCATCAGCAGATTGCAGCATGTAGACAAGGCATGTATTATTCCCAGTCATACTTTTAAAAGTATACGATGGGCACGACGAACGGCTGAAAATTTCAAGCATATATTTTTTTTGTTGGTTCTTTTACAATATCGAGCCTCTCGACAGCGAACAAAATTGAAGCACTCAAGAATCATATCCTATCGAGTACTCGATGAGAGTGAAATCTATTGAAAGCATATTACCGATCCTTCAGGCGCATTTCAATCATTCGAAAGTTATTGAATATTAAATTACTTGAAGAAGACGAATCTATCAGAAGAATACTTTAGAGTGCTCCAGTAGAAGTAAATCTAGCACCATTACAATTTCGACTATTGAGTTTAATTTTCGTTACGTCAGACTTATGAAAAAAATGTTTTTGAGATATCTTTTACTTTTATTCAATAATCTTAGCAGAATTATTTATGTTCGGCAGATGTTTCACCTTGATTTCATAATTTTCTGGACAATATTTAATATTTACTGATGAAAACTAATAATATTGGTTTGATATTTAAGCACACAAATCTGTTGATTATCAAATGTCATATTTATCAAATAAGTTCTTTATATAGCATTCGAAACTGTAGTAAAGCTATTTCTTTGGCTAGAAACGTGCAAACGTTTTCTTTCTTATATACAAAAAAAAAATGTTACTTTCAATATTTATAAACTGGTAGCAAAAGTTTACAAAAACACAATCGTCAAAGTAATATTATATTCGACGAAATTGAATCGTAAATACCCATGTTCAAATCTCTTCCTCCACGTATATTCAAATAGGTCTCGATGACTCAAGAATGAAAAATCTATTGAACAAATATTTTTAAATTTTGAGTGAATTTCGATTTCTTTGGAAACAATCGTTCGTATGGTCGAAAACTAAGTGTCGGAATGTCCATCGAACGGTCTGTTGGGTGCCATCTGTTTTATCAAAACAATAGTTCATAGATGAATCAGAAAATTAAAAAGATCGAAGTATCAAAAATCTAACATTTTATGAATAGTTCTTTTCGAATGTTTTATGTATTAATGTTTTCTATATACAATGTATAGGAAATTTCTAGAAATATTTTATTTTATTTAGTCAAGCTTTGTGAAATTTATACAATGACTACGTGGATGTTTTGGACTTTTATTTGCTTGGCTCTTGGACAATTGACCCATTCATGGCCAGCACACAAGCAACGTTTTCGACTCCGTACAATATTAGGCACAGCTGAAACGATAGATAAGCCACGGTCCAGTTTTAGTGAAAAAGTAAGATCAATTAGCAACAACGACGAAGACGATGATGATGATCTTGATGCTCTTCATAATTTTGACCGCCGAGGCCCCAGCAATTCTTATCAGCGGCAAGTATTCGAACTAACGAATCAAGCACGTCAAAACGGCCGGTACTGTGGTTCGACTTGGTATCCCGCCACAACGACTCTTCTGTGGAATGATCAATTAGGCTACGCAGCAACTAATCATGCCAAAAGCATGCTTTATTATAACTATTTCTCTCATACAGGTAGAGATGGAAGCAGTTTCGTGGATCGCATAGTAGCTGAAGGTTATTCGAGAAATTGTGCTGGCGGTGAAAATATTGCTGGTAATCAAACTCCTGAAAAGACAGTCACTGCTTGGATCAACAGTCCGGGACATTGTGCCAATCTTATGAACAAGGGTTTTAAAGCAATTGGCGTTGGATATGCTCAAGGTGGTCCTTACGGAGCTTATTGGGTTCAAAATTTTGGTTGGTGCTAAATATATGATTATTGTATCATTACTATGGACAATTTTTCCTTTCATTTTTCTTCATTATTTTTATCTAGCTACTCTTACTAACACTTCATACATACACTTTAACTTATTGAAATAAATTACGTTCGGTAAATATCAATTCTACCACTATTGAGTCTTGCAGATCGAAATAGTCCATGTCCTGAAGATTCTAACTTATGCTAGAAAGATTTTCGCGAGAAAAATGCTAAAATGTACTGTTTCAAAATATCGTCGACCATTCATTATGCAGTTCTTTCGTTGAAAGAACATGCCAGGATGGAGTGTGATAGAACGACCTTCTTTTTTTTCAAACTTATTTTTTAACCGGAGGAAAGGCGTGACAAGTTCAATGACTCAATAAACTCTCGAAAATGGATTTCTATGTATACAAGAGTTTGCGTATATAATAAAAACGCCGCTTAATTAAAAAAAGAACTCTGTGCTACGCTGCGTCTTGACATGCTCTTTCAAACAAACAAAAAACTACTGGTTACAATGAAGCTCCTTCGAGAATTCTGCAATGCGCGATCGAAAATCTATGGAACAAGAAAAAAACGAAAAAGATTTTCGTTTTTTTTCAACAGCAGCTTATTGTTCGAATAGAGGATGACGAAAATCTTCAAAAGTTTTTGAGAAAAACGAGGTGCCACATTAAATTTTTGCCGTTTATGAAAGATTAGATCACGGGCTATCTTTCCCTGCATTTATCTTAATTTCGATCACCTGGACAAAAAGGGACCTTTTTTGAGGGGGCTCTAATTTTTTCAAGGCTTTTAAATATTCTTCTTTTCTCATCATCATATAATCCAGACAGAGGTCTTGTTATTTTCCAAATAAATTCTTAGAAACCAAACTTTCGTTCATTGTATAGTGTGTCAGATTCGCAGTTTCTTCGCCCACATCAGATCTTCAACAAGAAATTTTAATTTTGACTTACTATTGTTTACTTCATACTCAATCTATATAAATATAATTCAATAAAATGTTTTCTTTGGCTTTTGTTATCTTTCTCATACTACATAAATCGTGCTCAAATTTTATAAGTATTATTCAGTCAGAAGTTGTTTTTCTTTTCTGTAATTTCTACAATAGAATGCCTATTCGATTTTGTTTCATTTATATTCGAACTGCAATTAAGCAATTCTTATATTAGTGCCCTGTAAGAACGAAAACAACATTAAATATTGCTTCTTTCGATATTTTTTTTGTTTTATTTTCATTTACCCGAAAACTTGTTTATGTAACGACTATTCATTTTTACATATTTACCCAATTGTACTTTGAATCGTAATTTTTATTTTTTATCCGTGTTAACCGATTAAAATAGATTAAACATGAATAAAATTCAAATAAAATCTGTCTTTAAGACTGAAAAATCAGATCAAACCAGTTCGATTTTAATGGATTTTTAATAAAAGAAATATTTGTTATTTTTTTGATTCTTCTCAAAAATTGTTACATGAATCTAGGCTATGCAGAAATAGTAGGATAAAGAGAACTGAAAACAACAGGTATATTATGGTTATTTTTTCTAGTTGAAAATGACGATTACATTTCTACGTTGTTCATTGAGTAATTTCAAATTTACATTGAGGGTGTGGGTGTGGGTGTGGCTAGGGTGGGTGTGTGGTTGTGGGTGTGGTTGTGGGTGTGGGTTTTGGTGTGTGGTGTGGGTGTGGATGAGTCTACTTTCTCCACACTCACACGGACACCCACACCCTCAACCACACCCACACCCACATCCTGATCTGGTTTAATCAAATTCACAAGTGTATTTTTCATGAGAGACATTAGTTTCGAAAACAAGACTAAAACCAATTGCCTAATCGTTGTTTAAAGGGATGCCAAAAAGATTTCAGAGTGCTCTTGTATAATAATAATGAGTAGTCAGTAAATTTTGAAACTTTCAAGATAGGTAGATCTAAATGACCTCATTTTCGGTCCTCGTTTCTCCCAGTCTTTCATGGAGAAATGTCAAAATATCGAAGTTACCTTTTAAAAAGTCTTTTTTTCTGTAAGAGCTACGAAAACTTAGCAGAACAATATGTTTTGAAATAAAAATAAATGCACGCCTCTTTCTTCTGTGCAAAGTTTGCTTAGAGACAAGCGCAAAACAAAATTTTACTTCAGCTGTTTTCTCTACGTTCAAGGAGTACACTTTTATGCCTACCAGATGCTCGTAATCAGACACACATGAATAATATACTTCTTATTTATTATTAACGGAAAAAAGAAAACCAATGAAACAGTTAACGAAAGAAATAATAACCAGAAGTAAACCATTCCAAAGGTATCGAATCCTTAACCACCGATTAGAAATAGCTTTGAATAAAAAACAGTATAAATTAGAAAATTTTCGATTTCGTCTTGTCAAAAAGAATTCTGTTTGTAGACCGATTAAAAAATACTGATTTTCGCGTCCAAAAAGGAGTGGACGAGTATATCCTTAAAAAAACTGTTGTTTAAATGAATTTTGTTTTTGAATAAAGAAATTCTACTCTATATTATCGTATAAAAGTGACGTGAGATCAACGTTATGAGATTGTTCTCATTTTGTTTCAAGTGATAATTTCCCATGAGATTGAATTTTTATGTAATGTCCTATTTCAAAAAACGATATGGAAAATTATTTATCTTGATTAGTTCTTTGTCAAAGCAGAGTTTTTATATTAAATCATTAATTTGATATCTAGTTTGATTAAATTGTTTGTCCATAATATCACTGGTAATCACAAAATTATGCAGAAATTCATAAAGTAATGAAAAAAAATGACATCAACACAAGTCAATTTATCATAATGAACTCCAATTAATACAGATAACCAATAGTCTGAAAACAAAATTCAATTAACAATCATTAACTAAATTTTTAGACAAAATATTTATATCGAACTCATATTTAATCAGAGTAGTTAGATAACATATCTTTTTGCTTATCAGAATCGATGTACGTTGTTGGAAAAATCAGTTTTCATTAATAGAATGTGTTTTCTAACAGTTGACAAACTCGAAATCATTGTCATCAATTAAATTATTATCTAACTGTACTGAAGATCAACGTAATATAGAGTTCTTATTGTTATTTTGCTTAAGTTTTTCATATATATACATTATTCATTATGTTTAAAAATATCTAAAGATACAAAGAAAATTCAGNCCCATCACATCAAATAATAGATATTACTATACACAAACATAAGTGTAACAGATATAGACTATATTTCTTATGTTTAAAAATATCTAAAGATAAAAAGAAAATTCAGGCACGTCTATAATCATATGTAAATTATTGTGAATTTTTTTAAAAATGTGTATTTGATGATGAAAGTCTATATGAATCTTGAAAATGTTATGCTGTGCTAGATATTTGCACTAACAATCACTTTTTTTCGTATGAGAGTCGAGAATTTTAAAAGAATATTTAAAATAAGATGCATATTGAATTTTATTTTTGTAAAAAGAAATAATATCAAAGCAGAAGGAGAATAATCACATGTTTCAAAAAAGATGTTCTTCGTTTTCATCTTAGAGATAAAAATTTCTTTCTAATGTATTGTTCATGAAAAAAAGTATTGAGAATATACAACCATAAATAGGAAACGTTATTTCATGATCAAGTAAAGACAAATGAGAACAATAATTCACTTACGTATTTGAAATTATTTAATAATATATTTCATTTGTTAGTTATAAAAGCAAGCTGTCATAATACAAAAATTGATTCTTTCTAATTTCATTAGATAGAAAAGAAAATTTTTATCGATATTTAATATATAAATAAATTTCCTATATATAATTGATTACGACGTTTATCTGGTGAAGTTACTTACCGAAGAATTAATTTTTTTCGAATGATACATAGACAAATGCAAAAGGTGAACAGCTCATGACACTTCTCTTAGTATCTGTAAATTTCTCATGTAATAAATTTAGACACGCCATATGTGTTTCTACTATGGACAACATATAATTCTCTGTGAATATTAAATCAAATTATCTTTTACGTATATGAAAAGAGAATCTATCAAATACATAAAATATTTAGTATATGAGTGAATTGCAACATCTCACTCTCACACAAAATTTCAGCTCTTGAACTCGTACTGTCGATAAGTTGAGGCGTGTACCTGAAAAAAGTCGAACTTTGTTCTTTTATTTTTCTTCGCCTGTGTACAAGTTGAATAAAAGCGACGGGTACTCAAACGAAAGATCGCTTTGCGGAAAACAACTTGATAAAAAAACTGCTTCTGAGCGACTTTCCTTCTCGGTAAAAAACAACGACATTTTTATAAAAATTCGAGTAGTACTCATTTTATAGACTGACTTTTTATGTGGTATTTCAAACCATTTGAATTATTCTGTGGTGAAACGTTACCCTGTAATTGTATCACATTGAATTTATGCGGATTACTGCGGTTTGTTGAACGACACTATTCATATGATGATACTTCAAGCAACAGTGAATCGGCATGGTTGCATGTTATCGGAAATTTATTCTACTTTTATTGCAAACGTCCATTGTGGTTTATAAAGCAATTTGACACGTAGAGTTTCGGTTATCTAGAAGCGATTTTTCCATTTAAATAATGTTCTTCATGTTATACTTACAATGAAGCACAGCATATATCGACTAATATGCGATAATGTGTTGGAAAATTTTTGCTATGTAACATAAGTAGACCTCGATCAGATATGAAAAAGCATACGAGATTAACCGAAAAAAACATTCTGATCGAGCTTTAATTTGAAACTTTTCCCGCGTCAAAATCTCACTTAGGTCAGATTGTCTACAAAATTTTTGAATTGTTTAACGTGCTGTTTACGACATATCAATGCTTCGAAATATCAATGTTTCACACAATCTTTGTTTTAGATCAAAATTTGGCTGAGCAATTTCACTGAAAACCTTGGATTCAATGGAAAGAATTGCTAAAAAATTCGATATTTCGACAGGAAAGGTTTCGAGGAAATGAATCCTTTTTTCAGCTTTTTTTTCTATATTTCATCGAGATCTATTTATGACTGAAAGGTAGTATCAAACATGCTTAAATTATAAAGATATTTTTTCTGATCATCTGCGGCGGCTCACAGATATCCAAACATACAAATCCTTCTTGTTGTCTTTTATAAAATTCAAACATCAATGAAACTCGTATGTTTTCTAACACTAAAATGATATTCTTAAATTTCTTTTTCCATTCTTCATTATTTTGCTGTTACAACATCAAAGATTTTTGCCTCAAGTCAAATGAACACATCTATTTAATAGTTTATTTTATTATCTGGATGGGTGTAGGTGCGGGTATACGTCTGATATCCATCGGCCGACCCATCAAAATTCACATCCACACACATTTAGTTTTCTTCTAAATTTCTATGAAATGAGATGTAATCGTGTTTGTATCGCGTTTTTATATCGTGTATAAGCCTTCCAAAATTCTTCTTTGTATGATTTTGATGGAAGAACAAAGACAACGAAAGTATGCATAGATGGTATGAATGAAATAAAATATCCAATCAAAAATAACCATGGATCATTAATTGACTTCATACAATGTCAAAATAAAAGAAATAATCAAACGTGGAATAGCTAAAATGACCAGAACAATTGGAGTAATCAGTAGATGACTGTGTTGTTCAAATTGTTGATATAATATGTTTCGATAGCTTTCATGAATTCGAACAGTTGTTCGCTGTCGAGCAGTCATTACGATAATGATCGGACCCGAAATCAAATTAATAATAAATGGAGTAAAGAAATGGTTAANNNTTGATGACATATTTACATTTTACAGCCATCTGTATGTCTTTAGCTTTCGTCTTTTTTCAAATATATCTAAAACTGTTTTTGAGCCTAGTCACATATGGTTTTGTAGAGAATTTTAAGCGCTTTCTTTTGATAATTAAGACAGCTTTACTTACAGTGATAATAGACAGGAAATCTTAAAAATACTGGGAGGCTCATTATTCCTGGGACACCCGATATTACATTTGAGAACGAGAAATAGATGTCTCATAAACTGTTTATACTTGAAGTTTTGTCTCTAGAAGGTTTTTGTTTCAGATAAATATTGAATATATAATGGAATCAAAAAATGTCGTTTCAATACCTCAGGTCATCAATGCCGAGGAGAGAAGTTCGACGATGAAACGTGATACTATTCGTAAAATCGAAATTGATATGCAGAAAAAATGGACTGATGAAAAAATTTTTGAAGTCAATGCTCCGAACAAATGGATGGACAAGTCAGTTGATTATTTTTCTTTTATTTATTCAGAGTTTTAAAGATTTGTTCTATTCGTTATAGCTCACAAAAGTACTTTGCTACGTTTCCCTATCCATACATGAACGGTCGTCTTCATCTCGGTCACACTTTTTCGTTATCCAAATGCGAGGTATGATTATAAATTTAATCTTTTCATGTCCGAAAAGAAAACAAGATTTCTCAATTCGACGACTAAGAAAAATTTCTTTCTAAACGTTTTGATTGATAAACTGTACTATTTCTTAGCAACTAGAGAGAAAAATCATCAAAAGGAATACTTTTTTCTATAACTAGAATCTACTCATTTTTAACAAGCTTTCTCTTTAAATTTTTGACATCTCTTTGAATATACTTCAGTTCTGATAACTAGAATTCCGATGATTGGTTCATTTTATATGACATAATTATCAAATTTATCAGAATTCTTTTGTTGTGTCTATCAGACAGCAAGAGAAAATATATTTTGTACATAACACCCAATCATGTGCAAGAAGAAATCAGACTATCATTTACACTTGATATTTTTTTTCATTTTCAATATTTGTTACTGTTTGTGTCATGTATATTCCATGATACACACTGGTTACTGTAGCTAAGACGCTCCAAGATTCATATTTTTTGTCTTGATTGTAAACTCTCGTAGACCTCAATGAATATTTTGAACAGGTTTTTTTCTCTTTGATCTATTACTGAAATTGATCATTTTACAAGATAGGCATAGAGTACAGCTTCATAATTAGGCTATAGCAAAAGTAAACTTTGAATTAGAAGATACGTTCAACAAGTGAAGATAGAAAGAAATAGATGTTAAATATGATTAACTGTGTAAACATTTATTACTTGTCATATATCAAAGTTTTATTGTAAAACTAACATTTTGTCAAAAGAGATTTTATTAAATCGATATGCAAAAAAAACTACAAAATTGATTTATCATTGGTGTGAAGCAAAAACATCGAAATCTCAACTCTGATGATCCTTATTATGCAATCATTATGAAAAAAACATCGAATTCGACTGAGAAGTTGTCAGAATTGAAAATCTATTTAATAGTACAGAAATAATCATCTTATTCTCAATGGTACAGTGAACCGATTACATATGTCATGAAATCATTCATCTATTTCGTATTAGCACGTGAACCTACACCCAACTAACCATAATTTCTACTCATTTAATGATTTATGATTTAGTGTATTCTTTGTTGCGTTTTATATAATTAAATCTAAAGAGTAGTTCGAAAATGCGGAAGAATAATTAAATTTTTCTTCTTAGATACAGTTAAACATCACATTTACATCTCTATCATATTTATTAGTTTAAATGTATCTTTCAATAAAGTCATGATAGAATTTAACCTAAAATTATGCGAGTTACATATACTAGATAGAAACCATGTCATTGTTCATTATAAATATTTGTGATTGATGTAAGAAATGAAAAAAAAAGATCTTTTATTTGAAATATTTACATTGAGAATGGTTTTGTTATTATTGAAGTTCGCCACTGGATATCAACGTTTGAGAGGCAAACATTGTCTCTTTCCATTTGCCTTTCATGCTACAGGCATGCCCATTCCCGTGAGTTCATTTTCTTACATATGTCGATGAAATAAATGCTGTAATTTAAAATAGGCATGTGCTGACAAATTGAAACGTGAAATGCAGGAATATGGTTATCCCCCACATTTTCCAAACGATGAAGAAATTGACAATGATGATGAGAAAAATTCAACAGTGAATTCTACATCACAAGATATTCAAATCGAGAATAAATCTAAAGGAAAAAAGGTAAGTAATATATTGCTTATTTTATAAACTCTGCTGTTTTTTATTATCAAATGATTATGTTAAACAAAATTTTGAAAATTCAAATTTAATAGAATCGAATGCGAAAAGTTAATGCTATTAACATTATTTTGATTGGAAGATTTTAGAGTTGTTCTGTTTCTTGTCTTTTTAACTATTTGTCGATCTATTAATTTGATTTTTTTTTACAATAATCTTGAACTATTTTCAGTCAAAAACAGTTGCAAAAATGGGCACCGAAAAATTTCAATGGCAAATAATGCGGAGTCTTGGCATTGAAACCGATGAAGAAATAAAAGAATTTGCCAATGCACAACATTGGCTAACCTATTTTCCACCTTTGGTTAAACACGATCTGGAATCGATGGGATTGAAAGTAATAATTCTTATCTCAGTGAAAATTAGATATGATTAGTCAAGTGAATCTTATTTGTATAGGTCGATTGGCGTCGCTCTTTTGTTACTACTGATATAAATCCATTTTACGATTCGTTCATTCGATGGCAATTTCATCATTTGAAAGCAGGTGGTAAAATTCAATTTGGCAAACGGTAGAAATAAAACAAAAAAAAAAGCGAAAAATTTTCATAAAACTTGTACAATGATCTTATTTTCATAGATATACAATTTATTCACCACTTGATAATCAGCCATGTATGGATCATGATCGAAGTAAAGGTGAAGGTGTAGGTCCTCAAGAATACACATTAATTAAATTACGTATTCATGATGATTATATTCCTGAGAAACTTAAGTAAGAAATATTTGATAAAAAGAAAAAGAAATAATAAGTTTAAACTATTTTATATTATAAGAAAATATACATGTTTTTTTATTATTTATTGAAGAGATCATGATATATCAGCTGGTGTCTATCTTGTTGCATCTACTCTTCGTCCAGAAACAATGTATGGTCAAACAAATTGTTGGCTACATCCAAATATTCGTTATGTAGCAATTAAAACACGTAATCATGGCATTTTTATTTGTACTCGACGAGCAGCACGTAATCTTTCCTATCAAGATTTTACATTTGATCATGGACAATTTACGATACTTGCTGAATTTCTCGGTTCAGAATTATTTGGTTTACCATTGAATGCTCCATTATCTGTTAATCAAACAATTTATGTTCTTCCTATGTTGACAATTAAAGAAGATAAAGGTACAGGTGTTGTAACAAGTGTACCAAGTGATAGTGCTGATGATTTCATGGCATTATGTGATTTGATGAAAAAAGTAAAAATGAAAAATTTCTTTACATTATAAATATCTGTTGTTGTTGTTAAGATCCAATTGCGTGAAAAATACTCAATTCAAGATAAAATGGTCTTACCATTCGAACCAATACCAATCATTCAATTGGAACCATATGGAAATTTATCAGCTCCAATCATTTGTTCTCAACTTAATATTCAATCACAAAATGATCATGAAAAACTTGCAATAGCCAAAGAAGAACTATATAAGAAAGGTTTCTACGATGGTATTTTACTTGTAGGAAAATATGCTCAAACAAAAGTAGTCGATGCAAAAAAATTGATTCGTGATGAACTTATTACATCAGGACAAGCATGTGTTTATTATGAACCTGAACAAAAGGTTAATTATCGTATAAAATTTTGATCTAGAACAAAAAATTTTTTTATGTTGAATAATATGAATGAATTGCAAATATTTTTGATTTTATGTTTTAGGTCATATCACGTTCAGGTGATGAATGTGTTGTTGCTCTATGCGATCAATGGTTCGTAGATTATGGTAATGAAGTGTGGAAGACAGATGCACGACATGTTCTTGAACAACTCAATGTTTTTAATGATGAAACACGCAAGAATTTCGAGGTTACAATCGATTGGCTTCATGAACATGCATGTTCTCGTTCATATGGCCTTGGTACAAAAGTACCTTGGGATGAACAATATCTTATCGAATCTCTATCTGATTCTACTATCTACATGGCCTATTATACAGTAGCTCATCTTTTGCAAGCACCTGATTCTTTCGATGGAAAAAAGATTGGTAAGTCTTTTTCTTGTATAGTATTCAATAAAGGGAAAATTTTCTTTTTTTTTTTAGGATCTGCAAATATTCATCCTTCACAAATGACAATTGATGTTTGGAATTATATATTTTTTACAGATGTTTTATATTCTTCACTCAATACAGATATTTCACAAAGTACACTCGATAGACTTCGAAATGAATTTCAATATTGGTATCCTGTTGATCTGAGATCAAGTGGAAAAGATCTTGTACCAAATCATTTGACTTATTCTCTCTATAATCATGTTGCACTTTGGCCTAAAAAAGAAGATAATCGATGGCCAAAAGCATTTCGTGCCAATGGACATCTTCGATTGAATGATGAAAAAGTACATAATTGAATTTATATTATATTCAATGTTGAAAAAGTAACTTTTGTTTTATTTTTTCCTTGTAGATGTCAAAATCGACTGGTAACTTTTTGACTTTGGCAGAAGCTGTCGAAAGATTTTCTGCTGATGGTAAACTAGCAATTTTTGTCTTCTGTTTATTTGCAATTCAACTTAAAAGAGGATTTTTCATTTTTTTTCGAATGAAATGTTTCCAATATGAGACTTGAAAAAAAACAGAACAAAATTCTCCATCGAAATGAATCGATTGAAAAGAAAAAAATTTTTATTTTTTTTTCACAAGTTTTAAATTGTATCGATCTAATTAATGCAGGAATGCGCCTTACATTGGCTGATGCTGGTGATTCGATCGAAGATGCTAATTTTGATGAAAAGAATGCTGATGCACAACTTCGTCGTCTTTATACATTTGTTGATTGGGCCAAACAAATTCTTAATGTTTCGAATACAGGTCTTAATAACAATTCTGAAAATACAGTAAGTAAATACATAAACATAATTATTGCCAATAATCATATCTATATTCGATGCGATATATTGAGATGAAAGATAAAGTTTCTAGTATCAAAAATTTCTTGAAAATATTCTTTAATTTGATATTGATTCGTTTTGCAATGTTTTCTTTTTCTAGACGATTAATTCGAAACAACAACTAATCTATCAAACAAATGAAAATGAACCGATGAATTATTTTGATCGTATTTTCGAAGCTGAAATCAATCGTGCCATTTTACTTACAGAAGATGCTTACGAAAATATGTTGTACAAAGAAGTGTTGAAAAGTGGTTTTTTTCAACTTCAAATAGCTCGAGACAATTATCGAGAACTTTGTTCAGGATGTGAAAAAATGAGTTTTCCATTACTCAAACGTTTCATTGAAATACAAACACTACTCTTAGCTCCAATTTGTCCACATATTTGTGATTATGTTTATCAATTGTTACATCCAAATCAGTCAATTATGAAAGCTCATTGGCCAACAGCTGGTAAGAATATTGAGAGAAAAAGAAATCAATTTTTTTCTCTTCGATAAATAATATTAAATAATTACGTTAAAATGAATTGTATTTTCTAGGCCAAGTTGATCAATCATTGATCGATTCGTGTAATTATCTTTTGGATACTGTACATGATTTTCGTAAACGTCTCGATAGATTCATATCAGTACAACAGGGTAAAAAATCTAAATCACAACAACAACATGAAATGATCAAAAATCAACCAAATCATGCGACAATTCTTGTTGCTCGTGCTCATTCTTCATGGCAAACATTTATTCTCAATGAACTCAAACAAATTTTTCTAGAAAAAAATTCATTTCCAGATAATAAGATTCTATTGATGCATTTCAAAGATCGACCAGAAATTGGTACAAAATATTTCGAAAAAACAATGCCTTTTGTTTCTTATTGTCAACAATTAGTCAAGAATGCAAATTATAATATTAACGTATTAAATCAACATTTGACATTTGATGAATATGAAACTCTTGTCTATAATCAAGAATATATAAAACGATCATTGAAACTCGATCAACTCGATATCAAATCGATAGGTGATGAAAATATTAAAGAAACAATGATGAATACTACCAATCTAGAAGATGTTGTACCGGGTAAATACGATCTAATTGAACTATTGATTGTATTGAATGCATTTGATTGGATTTGTTTTTTTTTGCTAGGTCAACCATTCATTCAATTTCGACATGAATCAATAATGAATAAATTGACATCGTCATCCTCTGCTAATGAATAGGAATAACATAGCTGATCTTTTGTCATTTGCTTTTTTTTTGAAAATCATTTTATTTTCGAACAAAAGCTGAAAGAAAATCGAGATGTTTTATTTTTCTTTGTAATTTTATTCTGAAATTTTTTATATCATTATTTAATCATGTAAAAGAAAGAGATACGATTTTTTTTCTATTTTTAGATAGATAAACGCGTGCACTCATTCAACGTGTTCTTCATGCTCATGTTCGTATTGATGATCAAATTGTGAATAGTATCGAACGTGGTCTTTGTATTTTTATTAGTATTCAATGGGATGATGATATGACTGATCTAGAATATATTGTTAAAAAACTCTTGACAATTAAATGATGGCCAAATGGTGACAAACCATGGGCACAAGGTGTCGTTGATCTTGATCTTTCATTACTTTGTATTAGTCAATTTACATTACATGTTGTTACAGCTCGTGGAGCACGACCTGATTTTCATCTTTCAATGTCGGCCGAACAATCGAAACAAATGTACGAACAATTAGTTAACAAATTAAAACAAGATTACAAAGAAGACCGAATTTATGATGGACGTTTTGGGGCCTACATGACAGTTGGAATAGGTAAGCTATTCGATTAGGATTATATTGAAAAAATAAACTACTTTTGCTCTTTTCATTGTTTTTAAGATCTTTGATGATATTTTAATTAATTTGTTTTAGAAAATGACGGACCAGTGACAATCATGGTGGATAGTAAAGCAAGAAAGCCGACACAACCAAATGGCATTGGATATGGTGCTGCAGCAGCTGTTGCGTTCAATGTTGAATAAAATGACAATGGAGTTAATCTCAGCTGCAACATTACTTTGTTTTTTTATTGTTGTTTTTCATGTTTAAAAAAACTTAAATCTGTTTGAAAAATGAATCACACTTAGATACATGCGAAAAAAGCTTATCACGCATACTAAAGATGATCGAACATGTTTTCTTTTTTTATCGAAGAAGATTTTCGGTGCACATTTTCTGTATTTTATTTTGTCAAAAAAAAAGATTGATTAGAGGCTGTCAGCAAATGATTTTATGAAGGCTCCCAGCATGGATTATAAAAGCTTTTACGGATTCTCTTGTCGATCACTAAAACGTGTATTTTTTGTTCAAAAATCTTAGTTCACAGTTCATCAAATATTAATAATATATGTAGTAAAATGTGCTGTACAAAATGATATAGCAATATATCAATTTTAAGTTCTTCTGATTGGGAAAGATAAGATCCACAAATATAAGATAATCTATAAAAAATACGATTTTAAGGTTATTTTTGATAAACTGTCAAGATGTTTCAGTGTGATATTATTGTTAATGTCTACGTGGACAGCACCGAGACGACAATTACAGAAAAAATTCTCGTGATTTGCTCTACAAAATGAGATATGTTTTGACTAAAATATAAATAGTCCCTATATTGAAGTATCCGATGATTACTTTTCAACATATCATTATTTTACTGGTAATATGTTCATCAGGTGTATATAATGAGAGTGTACTAGTAATAATCACAGTAAGGTTATCACATAGATGCGAAGAAGAACAACGAGATGTTTACAGCATATATTAAAAGCAACTAATGAACTTGAAACATGGAAGAGAGATAGAAAGAGAATCATCACGAAAAAACACAATATGAATTATGCAAGTGAGAAACGACAAAACCAATGACGAGAGACGAAATTTAAAGAAAATCACGAGAACGTAGTATCATCTGTTGATGCTGACAAAAACAAGAATTTTGATGTTCTTATGGTGATGTATGTTATTTGATGAATGGTGTGGGTGTGGGCACGCCTCGTGCTTTCATCCACGATCCACACCCACACCCACCCACCCACACTCCATAAAGGATACGCCATCAATCCACTGAAACAAGTAGTATGCATAATGTTGCGCTAGTATATAAAGATAAATGGATATTGTATTCATGATCCAAAATAATTGGAAAACACGTCGGTACATTGAGAGTAGAAGTATATAGATTATATGCAATCATTAAAAAAATGAAATCAGAACACAGTAATAAGACGGTACAAACGCATGAAATACATAGATATATACAGAGATAAATGCGAATATTACTTAACGACCTTGAGCCTTAAAGCAACAATTTTCAAAATATCTTTGAATTGAATTGAATAGAATTCGCACATTGAGAAAAATAAAATTTGTCACTACAATTCCTTGATTAATTTTTTTTTCCGATTCTAGTCATAGACATTTACAAAATCAAGCTGTGGAGCTGTGTGTGGACGAGGTTCATCACTTTACTTACACTCTTGAAAGTCAGCCTATATTAGAGAAAAGATTAGACGCTTTCTTTGATCCTAATTCATTGTAGTTAATTATGAACAGGTTGGCCTTTTTCTGCCTTAATCCCTTTTCTATCTGAAACTTTTTTCCTTTGATCTCTCTATGTAACGTCCCATGTTAGCATATAATCCATTTTCTCCCACTTTTCTTTCAGGATGTGAGTGTGGGTGTTGTTCTGGACCCTTGGTTCACCCACCCACACTTCTATTGAATCATTGCGAGTTTCATTGATACAACACATTGGTCAATAATTGTTCGTCTATCTTTCGGTCATTGTTAAAATGAAGAGAGAAATACTACTAGACAATATTATATAGATGAAAGAAACCACGAGCATGGTTATACATGAGATGAGATTTTTTCTGTAATGTATATTATTTAGTATGACAAACGGGAAACATATATATCAAAAATATTTCTTACATGAAGATAATAGTTTGTGGTTAGAAAAGTTTTATTTTTATTAATGTAATGTTATCGATCAATGGAACGTTACTCTCGTTATCGAACTATGTAACTCATGTCAACAGAATATAAACAAGTATCATGTGTTTTTTTATATGAAAACTTCGTTTATCAATTATTTTCTCGTCACATGTTTCATTGAGGCTTTACTTGAAAAAATGGTTTGAATTAGTGAATAGCAACTATACTACAGCATAACTGAACTTTCTTCATTGGCTAATCGGAGTTTCATCAACTCCTCATAATTTTATCTTTAGTCCATCTTGTGATTATATTTTTGAATAAAAAGAGATCTTCTTCGATCTATATCAATCATCATACGTAATTGCAGTTTATTCTCAAAACCCTTTTGTTGGTGTTGATGCATAACACCAAAAATCAATTGAATTTTTTTCACAAGTAGTTACAAGTATTGCTTTTTCAGAAGTCATGCTAATTTAATCTGTTAATGATTATTGCACAAGTTAATAATTATCCCAAAACTTCACTTTAAAACTGTATCATATTATCAGGTGGCTTCTAAACTTATTTTATATTTAATCGAGCTGCCTAAAATCTCTTGGATGGCTGTATAGTAAGAAAATCTATCCAGCGATATTTTATAATGTATAGTGTATTTCTTATAGAGATTTTAAAAAGTCATTATCGAAAATACCGATTAAGAAGAACAGAGATGGCCAAAAGCTTTGAACTTGATACACGTACGTGCATTTCTATTGAAGGTGATGCATGTTTAAAATAAAAATAAATATATAGCGGCTTCTTCTGTATCTATAATACAATTTAGCTAATATTATTATATAAGAGCAGCAGAAGTTTAAAAAAAGGAGCACACCAGGGTATAGCAATGGAGAAAGTAGATGAACAGTGGATGTACAATTGAGAGCAGGTCAATATTTTGTTAACAGGGGTTTCTGATCTATTTTTGGGTATTTATGTTGCAAGAAATCTTTTCGATCGCAGTGCACCTTAGAGAATGAAAAAAAAACTCGATTTTATCTGCCATCGTCTTTCAATAAGGAAATTGTCTTCATAAGAAACTGAATAATTTTTTCGATAGTTTTAACAGGGAAGAGAGTCTCACCATTTAGTAACTATTCAACTCTTTTCAAGCAGCACAAGTAATTAAAATCTTACAAATTTAATTTTGAAGCTTTTAAAACATGATTACTCTTATATAACTCAGTTTCTTTATCAGTTCTTACCAAAAACTAAATCGCTATCATGTACTATCTATGATATTTGTTAAGAAGGTTTTGCCAGAAAAGGCTGCCAGTTTCATGACAATTGTTCTGAAGCAAAACTGTTTATGAAATTGATAATTGTTTCTAATAGCTGATAAGATTGATGATCTAAGTCTCATATTAGGATGAACGTCCTGAGGTTTGATAGTGAACAAGGAGGTTGCTCATCTCCTGAAGTGTTTCATTTATAAGGAATTCGATTCGTTGGCAGTCTCTGCTATTCGTCTCTGTATTATCAATATGGGTAGCAGCCATTAAAGCACAAATGAGCGTTGTTATTGCGACGAGAATGTACCATTTATTCATAGTATTTCTTTCGCATTCTTAGAGTATAGTGATTGTCTGTATCAAATGCAAAAACCATAAGATTCAACTGACCGCTGTGACTGTAACAAAATACATTGTAGAGAGAACAAGATAGTTTAACAGAACCTTGTAACAGGCACTTCTCAAGTAGTGTCTCCAATTTGATGACACTGAACAAGGTGTTGTAACTGATAAAGAGTCAGAAATTTGATGTAAGTGACATGTAATGGTTCGTCTAATACTGATAAAATTATTCGATAGACCTTTTTAGTATGCTTTAGATTTTTCTGTTCATCAGGACATCCGTTGAATGAAGCAACATCAGATTAAACAGCCGAATTCTCATGCACTAGATTTATTTCAACGTCGATAAAAACTGATAATTTTTCATCAACAAGGACTATCAATACCAGCGAGAACCCGAGCTACTGTTCTGTGACGACTTGCTTACTAGATCTTTCGAAACATAATCAACATATCGATACTACTTTCAAAGATTTTTCTTATTTCCTCTGAGGCATTCGGAAGTCTCTCTATAGTATGATAGCAGACGATCGAGAACGATGACATCGATTTGTGGTGTATTCCATTTCTTGCTTGATAGAACTCTTGGAATTCAGCGTGAAATAATGAAATTTTGTTGAAATTCATCGTTCTTCGACATTTATTGGGTGGTTTATGGAGAAAATCACAGTGGATGCACCCTATGATAGTATCATTTTACTCTATACTCTTTCTCAAATCTGTTATTATAGTTCAATATAATCCTATTGCTTCGAAACTTTTTACAAAGCTTATTCTCTGAATATTTCTTTCATTTTTACGTTATGAAGATTAGCTGATAGACATGGCGAATACAGATAACTGATGATTAAAAAATCAAGCTGGACCTCAACAGTTCATGCATTAGGGTAGCACATTGGAACGCTTCGAATAATAATAAGATCAATTACTCATTCTCTTGTTATATAGAATGTTGTGCACTGCTGCCTACTTATGTATTTACACAAATGCGATTTTATATGCCATTGTATTTGCTACTAACTTGTCTATTTCATAAAGAAAAAGCTTCAGGTTATCATGTGTAGGATGCTTTTATCAGCGAATGAACGAATATAAGTCGTGCGAGCTATTAGATCAGATACCATAGCCATATAGATGAAAGCATTGATTAAATGTATAGCAAAAAATACGAGATCTGTAGAGAACGACAGGTAAATTATGACACTACTACGTCCAGATTCAAATTACGTTAGTCACACAAAATTCTTGTTTCTACTGATTGATGACCATTCAATTTTTTCAGAATAGATTTTCTTCTGTTTCTTCTTCTACTAGTAAAGATAAGAATAACCACTACGGTGGAAAGAGACTGTATTTTACTCCCATATCTTTCTCCAAGGTTGAGCATGTTAAGCCAAGTGTTACACTAGAGAAGAATATACCCACAAAAACTCTGCAATCACATGCATAAAATTTTGGTGTAATCAATTCGAATGATGCGCGTACAATAGACTGTTTGAAAATTCAATTTTCAATTAAATAAGAATTTCGACCTCAATAGGTTAAGATTTTATTTACTTCAAAGAAATATATATATATACAAATGATTATCAAAAATTAAGGATAAAAAAACAAAATTCTCCACAAAGAAAACCGTTATTATCTATAAAATAAAATACCTTACTCAAAAAAAATTGTTACCATGTTGATTGAAGCAGACTAATATTAAAAAAATCCGATCCATGGTCACCGTTTTTCCTGAAAATGCTAGACTATTATCAGGTATTTCATATGATAATTCTGATTATATATTTAAATGAGAAAGTGAATGTTTATCAAAATGTTGTTGAACAGATATTCTTGGCACTCTAGGTGTACTACTAGCACGTGTTCGTAGATGAACAATTTCGAACACATGATTACGATAAATACGTGCTCTTTTTGATAAATGAAGAAGAAGAATATCACAAACAATTGTTCCTAAGCCAAATAGTCCAACTAATGAACCAATGTTTAAAGTTAATGTAATAAAGTCAAATTTTCCAGCTTTACCACTAATAGTAATTATAAAACGAAGACCAAAAGCTTTTGTTAATGTACGAAAATGCTTCTTATTACGTTTCCAATAAGAAGCATGACGAAAATTAAAACCACGTGAAAATGGTTTTTCATGAAAAGGTACATCAAGACGAGCAAATGAATATTCAGGTTTACATCGTTTTATATTTCGATCTAAATTACAATCCCAATCAAGTTTAATACGTACAACACCACCATAGCGTAACATCAAATTAAGTTCAGTAATATTTTTTTCAGCTTCTTTCATTATATAATCAATGGTAAATATCGGGCAATCTGTATCATTTTTTGGATCAAAAGTACATTGTTGTAAGTTATCAACCATATTTTTATGTTTAACACCGAATTCTGGAAATTCAATAAAATTCTTAATAAATATTGTAAAATTGAGAGTTTCTTGAACAGGCATTGTTGATGTAAGATCATCTTCTGGTGGGCACCAACCTATAAAAAATATTTCGCTATTAGCATATAATGTAAAAATTATGGCATAAAATATCGACACTTATATTTCTTTCATAGATACGGCTCTGGAAAGAAACTTTTTTTTACCATTCGATAGGAAAATTTTCCCTCTTTCTACCTGTATATAATCGCATTTCATCGTGTACTATGAGATCAATTTGACAAGGAGTCATTTTCTACAACTTGCTACAATTTTTTCTGGGTTCTTTTTTTTTGAAATTCACGTTTTCTTATAACCGCTGATGTTCTTCGACGTAAATTACGACTAATAATTGATTTTTTAACATTAAATCGTCCAGCTAGTTTATGTACACTGATATCACAACGATTGTAAACAGAGTTCACTAGTTATTTTAATTTTTGATTGAAAAGTTTTAATGACTATACGCCTCTTGGTAAAAAATTTCGTTTATCTACATTTTAAATGCTTTTATGGCTCGATATAAAGATTGCAAATTCGTTGAACAAGTGCTTCTCTTTCTTCATGTAACATTCTCTTTGTGAGTGTTTGACGAAAACAAATTATGACTCTTATACGTCTTTTCTGGAGAAGATATAGGGATTGATATTTTGTGCCGTTGTTTTCAAATAGATGTAAAGTACGGAACAAGTTTCAGGGTGCCTGTCTTTCTTCTCCTGTAGTTTTACTTATACGTGTTTAACAAAAACCAGTAATATACAGTCCGAAAGACGAGCAGATTCCCTATGGAATGGTGAAAAATTTCTTTCCAGAGGTATCTTCGTGAAGAAATATAAGCTAAACATTTTGTACGATTACTTTTACATCGTATGTGAGAAAAACTAATTAAGAAGCTACTTAAGAAACATTTGACTAATGATCTTTTAATCATCCAGTAGCTTCTGATGGATAAACATTATCTATTTGTTCTCATATAATCATTAAAAAAAACATTGTCTTCTAATTTAAGATCAAATACTGTCAGCTTTTGTATCGTTACTAATCGTTAGGATTAAACATTACTATGGGGATAGAAACACACATAGATAGTCATTGAAATTTCATTGAAATCCTAATTTCTCAGACTTAGCCCTATGCACACAATATTTTGGCAACGTTTCAAGCTAATTCTATATTATTATTATTCAGAAAGACATTTAATGCCGTCTCGCTTCAGGTAACAACTATTATAATTGTTGCTACATGAAACGAGACAATATTAAAAGCTCTTTGTAACTAAGAGAAAATAAGCATGAAAAGTTGCGAAAATATTTTGTGTAGAGTTAATGCTGAGCAAGTAGAAGTCGAATTTTTCCATAAACTTATTTCTTGAAAGAATTGCTATATTTTCATGGAAAGAATTATGAATAAAGTAGCTGGAAGTATTCTCTAGATCAAATCAACATCTAATGGGCCATTTTCCTTTGTTTAACCGTTTGAACATTATGTAAAAAAAAAGGGCATTCATATATCGTAACTCAGAAATCATAACACTTTATTCTTCAGAAAAAGATTTCATTTATCTTATAAGAACTCCTGTTTTTGACAAAGATACAATTGTATAAGGTTCGAATCATTTATTGTTCGAAGATACGATCTTGACAGGCAACATATTCTATAGGAGTATTTGGTAAATTAGTCATTTACGTGACTGATAGTCATATACTAAACGTTCCATTAGATATTATTTCAATGATAAAAATATAAATCATAATAATAAAACAATATCTCATTGCTTTTTATTTGTAAATATCAAACTATTTCGTTAGTATATAAAACTTTCTTTGTTAATTTTTGTAATCTAAAAACAAAAGATCTACCTGCATATTCACAAAAACCCGTTGTAGTTTTTGTAATATTTGTTGTCTCATTGACAACATCTTTTTCTGGTAATAATAAACATTGACCTGTCCAACGTCCATTCATATCTGGTGTAAATGGTTTATTCAAACAGTCACTATCATTTGTACATATTGAGCTTTTAACTTGTTTACTTTCAGCACATTTAGATCGTGTCTGATCAGTTTGAACAAAGTTTGTCATTATAAATATAGCATTATTTTCCGATGGTGGAATAATATAATCTATGAAAATAAAATAATGATTCGATTTTCAATATAGGTCTTTGTTTTTATTTTCAATATACCTGCTCCATCAATAATCATTGTTTGANCAAAATTTCATCTAGCTGACAGGTCATTTTCATGAGTTGTTTTGCATGTTTTTCAAATATCATTAGTTTTAAAAGAATTTCGTCTTATACATTATCGAAGAAAAAGACGTGCCCGCTCCTGCGCTTTCGATTGGTGAAAACCGCAGGTAGCTAGGTATTGCGGTTGTCGAGTTATTGAGCTTACACTCACCCCTCTTTTATTCTGGCGCGGACATTAGTTATTTTAATTTTTGATTGGAAAGTTTTAATATCTGTACGCTTTTTGGTAAAAAATTTTGTTTGTCCACATTTTAAATTCTTTTATGAATCGATATAAAAATTGCAAATTCGTTGAACAGGTGCTTCTCTTTCTTCACATATCATTCTCTTTATGAATGTTCGACAAAAACAAACTATATATAGTTAGAAAGACAAAAAAAATCCTAGCAGCTGGTAAACAAACTATGGTTCTGAAGCTTCTTTCAGAAAAAGATATGTGTATAGACATTGTATGCTGTTATTTTCAAATACATGAAAAATGCGATATTATTGTTGGAGTACCTTTCTTTCTTCTCTTATCATTTTATTTGTACGTATCTGGCAAAAACGAGTTATGTACAATTCAAAAAACGAGAAAATTTCCTATCGAATGGCAAAAAGTTTCTTTCCAGAGATGTCTTCGTAAAGAAATATAAATGTCGACATTTTGTACGATTACTGTTGTATCTTATGTTTGTAAAAGCTAATTAAGGAGCTATTTAAGAAAAATTCGATTAATGATCTTTCAATCATCCAGTAGCTTGTGATGAATAAACATTCTCTATTTATATTCATTTGGTCGTTAAAAAAAAACATTATCTTCTTATTCAAGAGCAAATACGATGAGCTTTTGCACCACAATTAATCGTTAGGATTTGAATTCAAGCGACACACTTAATTCTTGTCAAACGTAAGAACTGGAAGTTAATGAGCTCAATCATTGATACAAAATTACACAAAAAACAGTTTTGATTAAGTACTATTGCAAAGAACGGAGACGTATGAAATGTTGATGTGACCTACAGAATACTTTCAGCTACTTTACTAGCGATTCTACATGAAAAATATGGAGTTTCTTCTAATAAATAAGCTTATGCAAAATCGTTAGGATTGAATGTTACTGTAGGGGTAGAATATCCACAAATAGTCATTGAACTTTCATTGAACTCCTACTTGCTCAGCATTAGCCGTATACACGCAATATTTTGGCAACGCTTCAAGCTTATTCTGTATTAATTAGAGAGATATTTTTTATTCTGTCTCCTTTCATGTAACAATTATTATATTAGTTGTTACATGAAACGAGACAAAATTAAATTCTCTTTCTGACCAATATAGAAGTATTCTACACCCAACGCAACATCCTATCTCAGTTTTTTTGCGTAAATTTATTTATTAAAAGAATCCATATATTTTTCTGAAAAGAATCACTAGTAAAGTAGCTAGAAGTATTCTATAAATCAAATCAACATCTGATACGCTATGTTCCTTTGTTTAACCGTTTATATACTGTAAAAAAGAAAGGGCACTCATATTTCGAAACTCATAAGTCATAAGACTTTTTATTCTTCAAACAAATATGTCATTTATCTTATAAGAACTCCGATTTTTGACAATGATAAGATTGTATAAGGCTCAAATAATTTATCGTACGAAGATACGATCTTCACACGTAACATATGCCGTAGGAGTATTTGGTAAATTAGTTATTTACGTGACTCATAATCGTATACTAAATGCCCTATGAGATATTGTTTCAATGATAAAAATATAAAACATAATACTAAAATCATATCTCATTAGTTTTTTGGTAAATATCAAACTTTCGTTAATATATAAAACTTTCTTTGTTAACTTTTGTAATCTAAAACCAAAAGATCTACCTGCATATTCACAGAAACCCGTTTCAGTTTTTGTAATATTTGTTGTTTCATTGGCAACATTTTTCTCTGGTGATAATAAACATCGACCTGTCCAACGTCCACTCATATTTGGTATAAATGGTTTATTGAAACAATCACTATCATTTTTACATATTGCTTCTGCAAGTTTTATATTTTCAGCGCATTTAGATCGTGTTTGATCAGTTTGAATAAAATTTGTCTTTATAAATATAGCATTATTTTCCGATGGTGGAATAATATAATCTATGAAAATAAAATAATGATTCTATTTTCAATATAGGTCTTGGTTTTTATTTTCAATATACCTGCTCCATCAATAATCATTGTTTGATTTTCTGATGTAAGAACATAACCAATACCTTTCACTTTGAGTGTTACTGATGACGTAATTGTTGTACTTTGTTTTTGATAACCTTGTTCATATATAAGTAAATATATTACAGAATAAATAAGAATAATAATCTGTAAAATGCGAAGTAAACCAGCATATTTTGCACTATGTATTAAAACTAATTTTGGTGTTTCATATTCAGTAAAATAACCGGTAAGAAAATTTTTCATACTTTTTCCAACATGATAATGATCTTTTAAAGATGAATGTGAATTCATTTCTTACAATAAAATTTATTATATATTCTAGAATAGAATTAATAACAATAGTTGATAATTTTCAGTAGAAACAAAATTCGATATACTAAAAACATTGTTTATATATTATTTAATAATATCCTTGTTTTTTTTTCAATAATAATAATAATAATCTCGTACGATAAATTATTATATTTGTTAGATAAGATAGAGAAAAATGCACTCATCCACAGGAACCACATCTTCCTCAAAATACAATACGAGTTCAATTGAAAGAAGCTGTACATATTGTCTTCTAACCTTATATATCGCTAAAAAAAAACCTTCTAGTTAGGAGTTGTTTGCAGATGACATATGATATTGACAGTACCAAACATTATATTCAACGCTGGTACTATTCGTCGATTGAAATTCAGTCAGTTGTCTCCATTTTCTCTAATGGAATTATAGAAAGGCAAAAATACCAATGCATTTTCTACAGTAACGTCTTTTCATTAATTTCTTCTCAGAGGAAGAAGATAAAAATAATATATAGAAGGGGCTAAAACATTTGCTTATATCAGATTCTAAAAAATGTTTGGGAAATAATGTTAAAAACTATTGAAAAGAATGGACAACTATTTTTCGGTCAAGTCACTTGTTGACATATAAAGACATACAAATTGAAAAGTTCTATTACTGCACTTCGTCAATTTATTATCTACAGTTCTAGATATAATATGACTAAGTTTATATATGTTTAAATCGAATGTTCTTTGATAAAATTCACCTGAATTGCATTCTTATATTGAATTTCTATGTCTATAGCAACAAACTTGTTTCTTCATATCTATTCTTTAAGGTCTATACATCAATACTGCATTCTTAAATATTACTCCTATTCTTTTATTGCCACATTCATGTATTTATATTCTTAAGTCTCTACAGCTATAAAGCATACAACCTTGACAACAACAGACAATAAGTTTTATCATCTGTTTTATATCTCCATAGCTATATCCTTAGCTTTTGATTTTTAGCCACTCTTGCATATTCTTATTCATTTAATGGTTATTTTCTCATATTTATATCTCAATTCTTATCCATTAGGCTTGTATGTTTTATCAAATGACTATATCTACTTGCGTAAAATTATTTAACATTTATTTTATGTTTATATATTTCTTTATATCTCCACGATACATTAGAAAAACATTAGTCATAAAGAAAGTAATTTTCATAAGTATTACATAATACTTCTCAAATTCGTTAGCACTTAATGAACATGAACACAATCAAAAATTCGGATTCGACCATCATATTTCATGAAAAGCTCTCGGAATTATTCGAATTTTATAAGAAGAAAGTTTTTAAATGCATCATCCGTAAATGAATATTTATATTAATTAAATAAATGTTTGCATACAACAATGGAAGCGTTTGTAAAACGATAAAAACAAATTCATTTTTATCTACATGTCTTCAAATCATTTGATTATATGATAACTTCGAAATGTCTACGTCATATCTTTTTAGTATAGATATCGATAATTACATAAGATTCCAAAAGTCATCATGACATTGCTAATACATATTACTCCAATACTGATTATTAGACTTAACTCGATACTTTTTTTCTATTTATCTGTAAGAGAAGAATTATGAATTTTTATTCTTAAACACTAAATTCACAAAGATTCCTGAATACCCATCACTTCTCATTATAACTTGAAACATGTGATAGATTTTCTACTGTTATAAATCAATATGAAGTATCTTTTTTTTTGCTGCTTGCTTCAATTTACATCGTGACTATGGAGTTTAAAACATTAACATATATCATTGCTTTATTAGAATTGATTCGATAGTTTTTGAAAAGACAGACAAACTAGTATATATCGTCAAAAGCACATTGTTCTTGTCACAAAGAAAAAAATTGATAAGCATTGGGATGAATGTCTTGATCCATTTCATAGTTCTTACTTTCATTTGATGCAGGAGCGATGCATTTGATTGCTAAGAATGTATAAAAATGAATCCTAATCAAATAGTAGTAAGACGTGTCAATGATTGAAACTTTATCATAATGATGTAAATTGAACTTTTCTTTCTCAAATAGTCAAAAAAATAGTCGTACGAAATGAAGTATGATCAATACTTACGTTTCTATGCAGTTGACATGTGATTATGATTCTGAAAACATCCTATAGAGTAGTGTCTTGTAGTCGTATAAAGAAAAGAATTCATCTATTAGACTATTGTTTATACTTAAAAAAATAAATAAATATCCTCCTAGGAATAATAATTTTACATAAAAAAGAAACAGAAAAAATATTTCAAACATATCTCGTTTATTAGTCTACATAACAAGAACTTTGTTTTTTTTTTCATTAAAGAGAACGAAGAAAATGCAGAAAAAATTGATTCATGGTTAATTGATCTTTTCATTGATTACATATAAACGCAAAGTGACGTATATCTATATTTCAGTAATATTCGAGATATCATGTAAGTAGCATGGCTATAGATTAGTGACAGTTGTCTTTTTCTATCATATATTGTTATATATCATCCTTCTTTTAGCTTTCTATCACATCAGAAGAAGACTTTCTACTAAATAACTTCTTCTTACAAGTTGGGTTTTGAATAAAACTAAAGTTTTATTTGATGAAAAAAACAAACCAGTGTGACCCTCTATAGAACTAAAAAGTATTTCGACAATATTAGTCCAAACTCATTTCCCTTAGATTTTAGTCTTTATGAGACGTAAACGACTGAAAATTGTTCTGAAAATAATACACAGATAATGTAGATCAGCGGTAACATCAGCACCATAATCACTCAAGTTAGAACGGAGTTATAATAACGGATGATGCAGAAGTTCCTACACAAATATCGATTAATTTTTCATCAACTAAAACATGTATGAAAAAACTGGAAAGCTCTTATATAGTGTCTACACTGATAGCTCTTTTTAACTGAATGTTCAGAAAAATTCTATCATGTCTTCTATTTCAGTAAGAAGCACGCTTTTAAACAGCACTAAAATGTAGTCTGCAGAAGGAAACAAATACTACAGAAGGTTATCGATCCCATAGTATTTTGCGATTTCTTCTGGTTCATTCCACACGACGATATTTATCTTTTCTTTATCAATTACCGTCTATAATCTCGGTAAATTATGCGGTAACGCTGAGAAAACTAATCTGCGAATTTCTAACCATTTTCAGATTGATGTTTGTATTGCTTTTCTCGCTGATCAATTTGGTCATTTCTAGTCATTGGTCCAAACAAATCTATAGAGCGAGCGCCTCGGATTATTCGTAGTTATTATTTCAACTGGTTTTAGTTAAAAATGGTGCCAATCAAATTTTGAAAAATCTTACCGACTCATTATCATTTTTACATTCAATTTTGACGCTATTTTTTACATCATTGTTTTTTTTACATTGTCGATTACATCATTTAATGCAATACCGAACAATTTTCTATCAAGTCTATCGAGAACTGAACAGTGCATACAACCGAAAAAACACGATCAACATACAATAGACCGAACTGAGTCCAACAAAAAAATACTGAGGCATTCGTTTTCTTCGTTAATCACTTTGAGCTGTTTTTATAGATCACATTTTAGTGCTATTTAAAGATATACTCCCTATGAAAGACACGACTTGATTAAACTTTTCTGAACAGACAATTAGAAAGACCTTTCGACGTAGATTATGTACAAGTATTTTGGAGTTTGTCCACAGATGTTTTAGCCGATCAAAAATGACCGATATTTGTGCAGCAAATTTTGCATTACCTGTTAGGTGACATCCATGGTCACTGTGGATCTCGTAACTTGAGCACAGATAAATATTTTGAGTCGTCAAATCTCTCACTTTTTAGTGCTACATTTATGATTACTTCGGATATAAATTTTATTGAGGTTCATCAAGCTATTGATGAACTAGACCATTTTTATCGAAACTATGGGTAAGAGGTGTTCCACTATAGCTGATCATTTTTTTCTGAAAACTTCAGAAGCAAGCACTTTACTTGAGTAAATGAAGCCATCGTTTTAGCTATGAAGGGTACTGAGTGAAACTATAGTTTCGTGCTGAAAGATCAATAACTACTCATATGTTACTCAAAAACACATGAACCATAAATTCACAAACCTATGTTTTTGCTATTTTCTACCAAATGCAGCAATCGTCTTAATTTGGTAAGATTTGGCTCAGACAACCGTTTTAGATGGCTTTAGAGTTTTATAAAACAAAAGACATCAATTAGTTCTAGATACCTATACGGTTCTTCGCGGCAATTTTTTAACAAATAATAGTATATAAGGATAAGATTTATGTTATTTGATAGAAAGATTATGTTTTAAGCGTTTAGAGCACAGCTACCAGAGACTCCTACGCTTTAAATTAGCTGATGCTGCTTTTAATCTAATTCTCAACAACTTCAGGCCCAATGCAGTGCACTTTGCTAAAGATAGCTAGATTTTATTTTTTCATAAGGACTTCGAACTATCCGAAATGCTTTTTTCGATGAAATCTTGATAAATAAAGACAATTGCTCTATTTGGTATAAAATAGCAAAAAAATAGGTCCATTGATTTACGGTTTGTTTTTCGAGTAACATGAGTAATTATTGATTTTTCAACATGAAATTATTGCTGAACTCATTCTCCTTCATTGCTGAGAGATGACCATATTTTCTTCAGTAATAGAGACTCCAGTGTCTTCGCAAATTTGCGATGGTCATCGGTCCACCATTTTCGTTTAGTGAAGTGTTCTCTTTCTGAAACTTTGAGACAGCATTGGCTACCTTTGATGAAACGCCTCCTGAAAATTTCATATTAATTCATCAAATTATCACTGAGTTATTGGTTCAATGGCATTCTATAGCTTTTTTTTGCATATTCATGTTTTCAGTAAAAACGGTCTAATTCATTCGCTTGAGTGAAATTCTTCATTCAAGCACTTGAATTACTGGCTTACGACGAAGCTAGGCTGACTGAAGAAATATTATTGGCAAGATTCATCTAAGACTTCGCCAGTGAATAGCACTTATGAGTTTGTTTAGAATCAGTGGTACATCCTCTTCACAACTATGACCTGTTCTCTTGTCTACTCTCCTACTACCCAACTTCACATGATTATTTAGACTTTACTTTCTATTTAATGGTTCTCAGCGTTCGAAGTTCAACCATCGATATTGCATGGTATCAAAACGTGTATATTACTGCCAGTACTGGGAAGACTTCATTTTTTTGTCAATTTATAATGAAAGATCTCTCGGCGATCTTTGCTACGCTCAGTGAGAAAAATATACAAAGACGCTGTCCCAGTCTGAGGATGGATTCCTACAATTGGATCAATCAAAACTGAACGTACAAGATCAAATTAGAAACAGGGAGTAAAACGAATCCTCTTTCTTCACAGATCAAAAAGATTTGTGCCATACATAGATGTACTAAGACAAGCGCTTAGATGGATGGTGACGCATGGAACTGCAGGTTTCGTAGTAATATGCAATGAAGAAGAATTTTTATGCTTTACTTTATTTCGAGAAAGTTTCTAGATCACACTGACAAAAAAAGAAAAGAAGAAGAAAAAACAAAAACAAAGTGGATTCAGGATTAAAATCTATTTCTAGAAGAGACAAGTACGAGAGGAAAGAAAGAAAAAATACATATATATGGATATATACATATTACTGATCTCTCGAAAACGTGGTAACTCCACAATCATTTTATTGACCTTGTGATTTTTCTCTCTCCATCTTGTATCTGTTGCTTTATGTTTCTGTTCTTTTCTTTTTCTCTCATTCTATTTTACTCAGTCCCCTATCAGTGCCTATGGTCCTAGGCCTTAATTCTTCCCTTAGAGTTGATATGGTTATAGCGATCAGAGCTGGAACCGGTAAGAAATTTTGAAAACGGTCCGGTCCGGCCGGTAGAAAAATTCAACCGGCCCGGTCCGGCCGGAAAACGGCCGTTTATAAGTTGGTCTGGAACCGGNTGGTTGATCTTTTCATCAAATCAAGCATTGTCTTCTTTTACTCATGATGTCTATTCGAACAAACATGACTAAAGAAACCGGAATGAGCGTGTGGACGTCACACTTCCTCTACACACTAGGCATCTCCAGGTATCACACTTGCAACTGATGCGATATCATTGGTATAGCACCTGTATTTTTCTTGGGTCGAGTGAGTCACGCTTTTTACCAGGCTGGCTTGAGCTGACGCTTTTATAATTTTTTATGCTTCTTACCAAACTATATGCCTGTTTTAAATATCAGATATTATTTTAAAAGTTTTACGATAGAAAATGTATGTGAATTTATGGTATGATTAATATGATAAGCCATAACAATCGCTTAAATTAGTCGTATCTCTCTTCCACACACAATGTTCTGTAGTGCATAATCTGCGTTAATTAACATGAGAAAGTGAGTGGCAGAAATGTGGCTCGAAAATAAATTGTCACCGAAAGTATGAGCTATAAATAGCACTTCATCTAATTCTTTAACCTTAATCAACGAGTGAATTGATGAGAAGCACACCGTTTTCTGAAAAAAGGACAGTCCTATGCAGATTGTGTTGTTTTTTCTAACGAAATGTCTTGTTGATTTTGACCACACAGTGAGTTAACACGGAGTAAAAAAATAGTCTGTGAACAGTTCGAAGAAATTTTGATGCTTAAAGCTTGGTGGTTCATCTTAAAGTTTTAGATATTGAAACATATTTCTTTTCGTTCACAAACTATTTTCGGCTCCGTGCTAACTCACTGGCTGGTAGAAACAAAAAAAAAATTTAATTCTGAAATATGCCACACTTTCGATGGATATATCTCAATAAAAAATCCGTTCCAGAAGACAACGAGCTATGCATAATGGTCGTTATTGAGTTCAAATACTTTAGAACATATTTTGCGTGCGTTGGACTTAACAAGGAATGCAACTTATTGCGTATAGATTTTATTTCAATTTCGAGCATCGGGACTAATCAAACTTAACATGACACTTGTTATTTGCTCCCAAGTACGTTAATAGCCATCGAAGTGATCTCCAAATTCTATTAGGAAAAGTCTTCATAAGAGAAATTTCCTTCGGCCTCGGGCGGGACGGACTTAAACAATATTCAGGTCGAGTCATAAAAAAATGGTCCATTTCTAGCCTTTATACATACGTGCATCACTAAAACAATGTTTTAAATCAATGTATAGATCAATGGGGAAAAAATATTAGGGAATACGTTTTTAAAAAAGAACCTGATGTTGAAACATTGATACTATCAAAATCTTTTCTATATGATAGATTGAAAATGATAAATATTACCGACGTAGAATGCAATTATAAAGTTCATCTATCAACCATTTCTGTTTTTATGCATGCGAAAGAGAGTCATTTATTTTTACGTACAGCAAAAAAATAATGAAAATTATTATTCGTATTTTTTCAACTAAAATCTGCAGAAATATTGACGAAGTGAATGTTCTTTATCTTAATTCAACATTAAAAAGATCGAAACACTCTGACTGTAACGCATGCTAGATGCCTTTGTACAAAATCAGGAATCATTTTTATGATATGTCTGTATGTTCAGAGAAGAGTCATGGCATCTTCATTGTTTACAATCATATATAGTTTTATCTTCGTAAAATGTTATCATTATAGTTTCTCAAGAATCAGGTATCACTTCACAAAGCATTCTCTACTTCTACCTATGCTCCAATTCTTTTTGACATATATTTTTTATCTTGAGCTATTCGTTAGATCATATCGAATAGAATGAATAAATATGCGTTCTGTTTCAAATGTTAAAAGATGATTTGAAAGAAAATAAAGTTTAAATATTTCTTTCTTACTCATTCAATTCTAAACTATAATCACATATTTTAGTTCCTAATGTCCTATGATAATCAACAGGAAATTTCAATGGTAATTGAATAAGTTATGAAATAATAAAAATTAAACGTATAATAATATCCAACAGTTGCTGCTATTTCATGATTATGTTCTCAATCTAATATACATATACAATAAAAACAAAACTACAAACACAATACTGATTGATAGATTTTAATACCGGCTTGTAATAATTTACTATTCGCTATATAATATTCATTTTGATTATCATTTTCAATTGGATAAATATAATGATAGATTTCATTCATGATTTCTTTTTGTCGGTAAGAAATTACTTGTGTTAAATGTTGAAGAGTGGACCTTTGAAATTGAAATCCTTTAATTAATAATAATATATTCATATGTGTCATACTTTGATTGATTTAAATTATTATTATATAAATGAATAACTTCTTGTTGAATAGTTAATTGTGATAAATTATGATTTAATTGATTTTCTTTAAAAAAGCAACAAAACAAAAAATATTGATAAATAAAATTAATTTACTTCTTTCTTCAATATTTTTTTGTTTTTCTTGATAAGCATTTAAACGTTGTTGATATAAATATGTTTGAAAATGTAAATATTTTTTTAGATTTTCAATACGTAATTGACGTGATTCACGTTCTTTTATCTTTTATTAAATAAACAATAAACTAATTTAAATTTAAAAACAAAGAATATGTTTATACTTTTGCTAAATAATCATTATTTTCATCGACACATTTTTGTAATCGTTGTAAATATACTAATGATGCTTGTTTTTCAGTACGAATTGCATGAATAATATTATACATACTAAATTATAAGATTTATGAAGAATAAACATGGTCTACTCGTATTGAACTAACCGTATGATACTTAATTTATTATATGATTTAGTCAATGAAATACGTTTTTTCTTATCGATTAATACAAATTTTGTATAATTCTCTTGAATATTATTTTTCTCATCAGTATCAGTAAATTCATAACCAAACATTTCAAGCCAAAGACTATTATTATCTTTATTAACTTCATTTTTCTTAAAAAAAAAAAGAAAAAAAGATAGTTATATAAATTTAAATTGATTTCATAATAATAAATATTTTACTTTACCTGTTCATCAGGAATAAGAGAATCATCAAGATGAATATCATATTCAAGAAATAAACGAGAATTATTTGAAGATGTTATCCATACACGCATGAGGAATTCTAAATAAACTCGATTATTTCAAATAAATCTAAATTGATATGTTTTATTTGCAAATGCAAAAAAAAACAATCCAAATGGGCTTTTTATCATTAAAAAATGTGCTGAAGTCTTTTCGTTCACAATATATATAACTTTTCATGAAACGATTATATTTCAATAGACTATTGGAAGAGAGTTGAAGTGTTCGACCATGTTTTCGAGAAATTTTTATGGTTTTTTACAAGTTTTTGCAAGACTGACTTTTCATTTGTGCTAGCATGAAATAAAACATTTTCACATTAATTATTATGTGCCTACTAACACTTAAGCAAAGATTACATATATGTATTTTATTTTCAACATTTGATATAATTAATTCACATGTCTCGCGCAGAAGTGTAAAAGATTCGAAGAAAAAAAACTGAAACTCCTTCTTGACGGTTCGACATACAAGCAATCTTTCTTTTTTCGTTAGAAGTTTCAAGTGAGAATAAATGATTTTCTAGATCAGTTTTCTTTTACTTGATTCGTGTATTGAGAAAGGCAAGATTTAGTACCGTACAATCACATTTTTTATGCTTATTTTAGCACAAAGTCTTCAAAAATACTCATAAAAGTTGTATGGAAACGAATTTCCAAATTCTATTCAGAGAAAAACTATGCACAGGTGTTGACTTTTATTTCAACCGACTCTGACCTCTGCATCTCTTTTCCTGACGGCATCTTAAGATTTTTTTTAGAGATTATAGATGGGTTATAAATAAGTTATAACTTCAATTTAGTATAACAAAAATGTTTATCACTAGGGCAATTCATTCCTGAGAATTTCTGCCGAAGCAAGCCGTTCTAACAAGAGAACTACCAGAAGTGAAATCCGCCGTTTGAGCTCATGCTGAGTTTATCATAAGGCCTTGGTAAGACTAGAAAAATCCTAAAAAAATGTTCCTGTCCAAACGTCTTTGACGCCTAGTGATGACGGTCTTACTGAATTTTCCATTTAGCTTTAGGTATTTCGACCTAAAATTTCGTCTAGAAACAGATTGAATAACTAGTACAATAACCTGAAAGTTTCAGCCAAAAGAAATATTCTTTGTGGAGATATTGAAATTTCAAGTAAACTCGATTTCTGTGGCAAACAACCATTTTTCGAAAACTCAATATCTTCACAAGGAAATATCCATTTCGGCTTAATCTTTCAGGATATTCTACTCGTCATTCGACCTGTTAATGGGCTAGATTTCACATCGAAATACCATTATGTGATTATTTTTGGTAAATACCTAAAGCACAATCGAAAATTCATTAAAATGATCATAACTCGGTTACGCAGACGTATGGACACGAACGCTATTAGGACTTCTCTAGTCTTATTGAGATCTCCTTGTAAACTCAATAAGAGCTGTAATGATGAATATCAGTTCGTGTAATTTTCTCATAACTGGTAAATTCATGTGTGAAGAGACGATGGAATACGTTTAATATCACTGTTTTACGATGAAGAACTTGAGTACAAGTAATCCAGAGTTCCCAATTTCCAGAATCCAAGTTTTTACTTGAAAGAAAAATTCTTCTTTTAGAACATAAAGAACAAGAAATTTCTCGTCAGCGAAATATTTTTCCATGTTCGATATTGTTTTTAAATTAGTTTACCTTGTAAACATTGCACACTGGTTGGAAATTTAAAATAGGACCATTCTGGGCTCTAAAAGTTTCAAAAATCATTTAAAAGAAACTTTCCTCATAAAACTTACACGTTGATTCACAACTGATTCACTTGTATAAAAAGCTATATAAAAAGATATTTTCTTCTATTTAATAAATATAAAATTCATTTTCTTTACCAACAGTATTTTCATTTCGATGTAAGGTAAAATGAACAGTAAAATTAAATTCATATACTGTTAAATTATGAAGACCTAAAGCAGTTATACGTCGTAATCGTTTCTATAATAAATAAACAGTTATTACTAAAATACATTTATTTATCAACTTACTTTAAGAAACGGTATAGAAATTAATGGACTCTTTTTTGTTCCAGAGAATGGCATTGTTATATAAATTAATCGTCATTAAATAAATAATCTTTGAACAAATAAATAAATTTGAATTTAATATATAAAAAGCAAAAGCTGGACGATTATTGTATTATATTTTTGCGAAAAAAAAAATAAAATGAGTATAATCACGTATTAAAAAAGTAGAATTATTTTAAGCATTCGTTATTCCTCGACAACAACTTTTGATTGCATCTCTATATAAATAAATATCATCAATCAATACACTATGAAAAACAAAAGCTATTTACCGCGCAAATGGAATGTAACTAAGTGTATACCACAGCTAGAACAAAAAAATAATAATTAATATTTCAATTATTTTGAATTCTATTTACTAGAGCAAGAAATTGTAGAATAATAAATAAAAGAACAAGAGCAGCAATTTTTATCTAAAGAAATTAAATAAATAATAATGAATTCATTTTTTTTTTGTGTTTTTAACTTACGGCAATAGCTGATACAAGTGTCATAACAACACATACCTATAAGCGACAATAAGACACATGTTTTTTTATAATAAAATTTATTCGAAAACAATAATAATTTACAAGAAAGACAAGGGTAGCAATACATCGAGATGGATCAAACATTTTTTTTAATTGATTCATTGGTCCCATTAAAAACAGTGTACTAAAAGAAAACCAATAAAAATATGAACTATCCTCATAAACTTACGATCCAACACCAGCAATAACTGCGAAACTATAAAGAACAGCAAAACCAGAAATATCACCACCAAGAAAATAGATAATAATCGCCTAGAATACATTAAAATCAATCTATACATAATTTCGAAAATATCAATTGAATATTTTCTTGAAAATCATGAACATTCAGTTTCTATGCATTTTATTTACTATCAAGAATTTTTATCTTACGCCCATGTAATTCAAACCAGACAAAAACCGTCGGTAGAGTGTCCGGTATTTGCTGGTAGTGACAACAAAATGATCAGTATAAACAACAATCAACTGAGGATAGTATGAAACTTTTGATAATGAATTCAAGTTCTTTTCGTTATTAACAATAACTTACAACGATGCCAAGTATCACAGCAATAAGCAAACATATGCCAAAACCTTTTAAACGTGTATTCCATGATAAACCGAGTCCCTATAAAACAAGACACACATTCACAAAGAAAAATTTTTTCAATAAAATTAAAACATATTAGCAATCAAAAAAAATTATTTTTGTCAATCGAGCATTTGTAATTATGCATAATCTCACCTCCGGCATAACAACTGGATTATTAAAAAGCATTGTATATTGTCCATGTTAGTATTAGGCAACCATATTATATACATTTACGATCAAAGAAGAAAAAATAAGAAGAAAAAATATTTTCAAAAGAAAAAAAATAAATCTGCTAACAGTATCTAAAGAGTACACGTATTTATTTCTTTATTTTATTTTTTATAACCCACCTGTGGTGTAATCGATACATCTTCAGTGGCAGCATATCGCCCACTGATAGTAAATAACTGTTTCATGTTTTTTTTAAATATATATATAAACAAAAAAAATCTAAAAGAAAATTATATTAAATCCCATCTCCATATTATTAACATAATCTATCACCAATGAAACTTATAAATTAGCAGCTAGTATAAACTATTGCACAAAAAAAAAACAAAAAGAAAATCAAAAGTTTTATAAAGTTTTAATTTGTTGTCAGTTCTGTTTTTCGAAGAGCATCAAGAACAACATCCATATCATCTTAAAAACAAAATAATAGAAACTAGAAAATAAAGAATTTCAAGTAACTATCTCTTACTTCTTAATGTTCGAACCATATTCACAATTTGTTCTTTACCATTAATAACTTCAATTGTTTGTGTATATGGATTATAATGCACACTAAATGGACGTGGAATGGTCAATGCATATTGTCTAAAACACAAAACTTCAAAATATATATATGCCCGCGGAAAAAAAAGAAACTGCACTCAGTATTTTAAGGAAATCCTTTCTATAATAAGATATTTTTTTAAGAATTATGATATATTCTGAAAGCACGTGGAGTTTTCTATCAGTCTGTATATTTGCCTTTTCGTTTGAATATATATTTTACCAAAAAAATTGAGTGTAATGAAGACAGCCTCATATCCAGATTCCCAGAGGCTTGATTTTGTCACTATCACCAAAATTAGTTTTTAAAATTTTTCATCAATATATAATTACCTTTTGAAAAAAGTAATTATATATTCTGATAGAGCTTGAGATTCTCTATCACCCTGTATATTTACTTATTTTCTTATATTCATCTATTGAAAAGAAAATTTGAGTACAGTGAACACACTGTCAAATGACAAGTATCAAAAATGTGCATTTTCCGTTGCTTCTGAAGTTCTGTTTTTAAATTTATTATTCTTACGGAAAGATTTATTTTTAAAAATCAATCACAGATTCTTATAGAGCTTGAAATTCTCTATCATCCTGTATATTTATTAACCATTTTGCATTTATGTGCTGCAGCACATTCAGTACATAAATGCAAGGCAAGGGAAAAATATATAGGATGATAGAGAATTTCAAGTTCTATCAGAATCTATAATTCCTTTTTTAGAAATGTATTTGNGGTGAAAGTGACAAAATCAAGCCTGTGGGAATCTGGATATGAGGCTGTCTTCATTACACTCATTTTTTTTTGGTAAAACATATATTCAAACGAAAAGGCAAATATACAGGCTGATAGAAAACTCCACGCGCTTTCAGAATATATCATAATTTTAAAAAAAATATCTTATTATAGAAAAGATTTCCTTAAAATACTGAGTGCAGTTTCTTTTTTCAGCGGGCATATATATATATTTTTGTGCATTAATCATACCGTAATTTTTCTTTTGCATCTTTAAAACTTTCAGCTAAGAAATATGTAGGTTGATAACTTGTTATTGGATATGGTTGAATCGAAGCACGAAATGGATCAAATGGCATAATTGATGGTTTGTCCGAGACACAATACTTAACAAAGAAAAAAAACACAAAAAAAGAAATATACAAAGTTAAACAAAAACAATAGTTTTACTTGTAATTCACCAAATGATGAAAGAAGACCAGCGCCATAAGCTTTTCGTTCATCACTTTCCATACACAAACCAAATTCAACAGTAAACCAATATAATGTTGCTAGAAAAATAAATAATAAAAATTAAATCGAATATTTTCAATTGAAGTAATTATCATTATATAACATTAAACAACAGAAAGAGAAAAGTCAAAATCGTACTTTGAGGATTTTCTCAAAAATCTAAAAAAATAATCAAATGACTTTGAGTAGTTTCATATTAAATAAATAAAGTCATTCAATCATCATTTCTATTTTCTGTATTTTACAACATCCGAATTCGTACCTTTCACAAGCAATAGCTCAACACACTTTAACAGATATTCATCGTTTTCCTTTTTTTTTTGTCCATTACAGATTTTCTTACAGACACATACGTTACAAAATTTCTCTTACGAAGTGAGTGCGGGTGTGGGTGTGGCTATGCATAGACTAACATCCACACCCACACCCACTCTTTTCTGTAAATATCTAAAGCTCGATCAAAAATTCAATAAACCGGCCATAATTCGACATCACAGGCCCATGGGCACGAGTCCTTTTCAAAATTTTCCAGTCTCGCTGACACTTCCTAGTGAACCTACCATGAGCTCAAACGGTAGATATACGTGCAAGAACAGTGAATGGGAACAATATTTTTATATTCTTTCTTTCAACTTCTCATTCGTATATATGACACTATTTAGGATGAAAGATTTTGTCCATAAACCAGTATAATTTCTTTATAGATTGATCTAATATTAATTCTTCGAAGAACCAATCAAGAAAATAGGCAATCATTAATACCTAAACGAGTTATATATTCGTCTGGTGCACCCAGACTAGCCATGCCGATTTCTTGACTAAATTCTGCAAAATCTGGATCAGCAAAAAGTGGTACATGACCAAGTAATTCATGACAAACATCAGGTTCAGGTGTATACATAGGTACACTATGATGACGAATATATTGCGTAGAATGAAATACACGAAAAGCTAAACCAGCAAGAAAATCTCGTGATGATAAAAGACCTAAATTAAATGAATTACTATAATATAATAAATATTAAATATGCAACAAACCAGCTACTGGTCGAAGTCGAAAACCCGAACAATCTTGAAGAAATTGTGATACATCTTCTAACTGTGGTATATTCGTTTCATTATAACCACAATTATCAATAAGTAATGGAAAAACATTATTAAATTCTTTGCATGCATGTGCTGGATAAAGTTGCGTTAATTCACGAAATACAGTTGCCCATGTCAAAATTTCTTGTTCTGTATATGTAACATGTGGTATTGGTTGATTATGACGATATTGATGTGCAATATCAGCAAATTCTTTTCGACGTTTTCGATAGAGTACATCACGAAAACCTGGATGATCAGCATCTAATTCTGATCCATAAGAAAGTACACGATTAGCAAATTGATCTAAATCACGCATTTTTCTTGGAAACCAGGGTACTAAATATAATAATAAATTTTAAATTGAAATTTTCTAGAATAAAAATAAACAAACCAGATTCATCTAATGTTTTATGAGCACGTGAAAGTATATGAATATATTTCGATTCTTCACGTAATTGTTTAATAGCATCAGGTAAACTACCCATACTATTATCACATTCAACATAAAATTCATGATCAGTTTTATTTTGACGAGATAAACGAGATTCAATATGAAGTAAATTTATGCCATGTTTCTACAAAAAAGAACAAAATCAAACATTTGGTTTATTGTTTGAATCTTTCGAAAAAAAAAATCAAAATTCTTTTAAGACAAAATCACATTGAGAACTTTTTTCAATTTATATTAGTTGTGATAGGAAAGAAGAAAGAGCAATGGAGCATTTATAATTTAGAAATCAAACCTTAACTAAATATTATAGTAATTCATTTAATNGGTGAAAGGTCAGACTATGCCGAAAGTGTATGAATTCAAAATATATGATTAAAATGAATAAAGAGATGAATAAAAAAAATTGTAACTTGAGGAGAAACATGTTATAGAATATCACTTATTAAATTAACCAGGCATTTAATTCTTATATAGTGTATTCATTTTGTTTTCGCGTCGCCTTCGCTATATTGTATCGATATGCTCAGGATCGTTCAAATGTATTGTAGTCGTCTTTTTATAATGCCACACTTAGTTCCTTCATCCTCTTATACATTCACCATTATGGTTACTATTAGTGTTGCTTCTTCAGAGAAGTCTTGAATGACAAAATGCTTGAAAAAAAGACCAATCAATAACTCGTAGGACACTAATAAAACATAGCAGAGACGACTCAAAATCAAAATGAATACATTATATAAGAATTAAATGCCTGTTTAATTTAATAAGTGATATTCTATAACATATTTCTCCTCAAGTTACAATTTTTTTATTCATCGTTTTATTCATTTTAATCATATATTTTGAATTCATACACTTTCGGCATAGTCTGACCTTTCACCTTCTAACACAAAAATTGTTCGAAACGAAGAACAATCGTTCGTATAATGTTAACGGTGATCAACAAGGTGCTTTACTACATATATTCGCAAACAATACTATTGAAAAATGAACTTTCGTAAACATCAGAAATGTGTTTAACATTTTCGAGCCATAATAGCTGGAGAGATTGATGTTTTGTCACTTCATAGAGAACCCTTTGGGCTATCTTTTACATATTTGAAACTGATGGATCACTATAAAACTTAAGATAATCAGGTTCAAATTTTTAAAAGATCTGTAATAGATATTGCGTGAAAGTGGATGTTTTTTTTATCTTGTATTAGTTGATCGATAGAGCACTTGAAGTTCTACGCAATGACGAAAACTGCAGATCTCTATCTGTTTTTGTTCTCACCTTATTCATAAAAGCGTCCCACGCACGGACTTTTTAGAGAAACTATAATTTCCAATCATTGGCATAAATCTACTGGAAATGTTTTGTATTGTAAATGCGCCAACATGTACTGTCACAAGTGTTTATTGTAGGGATTTTGAAATAAGCTTCATGAGTATCTTAGAGTAAAAATGACTCTAAGATAAATGTGATAAATATCGAGATTTAGAAACTTCTAATTGTTAGAATAATGAAAGAACCTCCTTAGATATGCCCTTCCGATTTCAATGATTCTTTTTTTTACCTAGAGATACTATTATAGTGTTCTAATATAAAGATCCGTTTGGAACTCCAGTGTTTCGGAAAATTCATATTTTTGAATTTTGATCTGAAACTTTGTTCATATAGATAACTCAACTACGCCAGCTTCCATAAATCAAATTTTCAGAAGTTTTCGACAAGGTCTCTTCGAAATATGAGGGTTTCACGATATAGATCCTCGTTCACGGATAGTGAATACAGAGTATATTTTTGACAGCTTCATCTTTCGAAGAGACTTTGTTAAAAACTTCTGAACTTTATTATGGAACCTAGTATAGCTGAGTTGTCTGTATGCGCAAAGTTTCAGATCTATATTTTAAAATATGAGTTTTCTAAAATACAGAAGCTTCTAGAAAATGAACATATAAAAAATTGGATAGCGTAGTCAAACTCAATAGAAATTCAAATGCTTGTACAATTTGTATTAAAACACTATTTAGTATCTACAGGCAGAAAAATCATTGAAATCGGAATGGGACATTTGAAGAGGTTCGATAGTAAACCTGAAAAGGCATGATTTTTACCATATATGTGGCATTCATAAGTAGTTTATAATTGTTCTCACTCTTTGACATCGCAGCTGTTGATAATCCGATCTAACTATTATTATGAGTATTGGCCTTTAAGAATAGTTTGTAAAATCTTTTAAGCATACCATGGATCAAACCAAAAAATCTTTTCAACTTATATTGAAAACATACTTATCTGTCCTATTTTCTTTCAATTTGAAATAAATCTCCTATTTCAATTAAATTTTCAAATTATTTTGCCAGCAAGTATGAAAAAAAAGTGAAATAATCGAAAAAATCTTATTAAATATTGTATAAAATATTAATTACGATATCAAGAGCAGAGTAATGTCAATAGATCACAAATAACTCAGCGACAAATATTCAAGTGAATATTAGAAAACCACTTTTTGTTTTTTAATTATGTTTTTTGAAATCTTTGTGCATGAATCACTTTTATTTTCCACAAGTCAAAATTCTATTTGGTGTAAAAATAAATCTTGATAGAAAAAAAAAACAATAACAAGATACCGAATTGTTTAGAAATACCTTTGTATTATCAATTTTATTTAAGAATGGTCTAGAAAATCTTTATTTTTCCTAATAGAAGATTAGTTTAATCCTGAAGAAGATATAGATTTTTTTTCTATTCATTCATGTAAATTACTTTTTAAGTTTACTAACTTTCTAAAATGACATCGTGGAGATACATAGCCGCCCTTTATGCACGATTTTTTGGTATTCCATTATTAAGTTTAGGAATAGTGGGTGATATTTTAAATATATATATATTTTCAACAGTAAGTATGTATCGTCAAACAGCATCGACATTTTATCTATTATGTGCGGTTATTGCAAATTTTATTCATCTAACATGTGCAATGAGTACAAGAATTCTTATTGTTGGTTTTGATAGTGATTTAACACGTTCGTCTCTTCTATGGTGTAAAATTCGTCAATTTATTGTTGCAACTTATGCTCCATTGGGATTAACATTTGGATCTTTGGCAACTTTTGATCAATTTTTGGTGACATCACGTAATGCTCGTTTTCGACAATTTAGTAATATTAAAAATGCTCATCGAATTACCATTGTAATTATCATTATCTGGCATGCTCATAGTATTCCTTTTCTCATTTACAATCAAATACGGTAAGTTAAAATAAGTAATAATGAAAAATAAAGATTATTTGCGTTTTTATTTTATCATTTGCTACGTCCCATGTGTTGTTGGCTGTAATTGCTTTTGGACAATTAATTTTTTAATTTTCTGTCTATCAAAGTTCATTGGTCAGATAAGTGTTACAGAGAATAAGAAAAATGAACAACGCAATTTCATTTATCCACGCACAAGATAAACTAATTCTCTAGAATAATAATATTAATCTTTATCCAGAGTGGTCTTATCTAAAAATAATTTTAATTAAATTTTCAAAGAAGAAAAAATGGATTTCCATGCCCACTAATAAACTATTGTCAGCCTCTTGCCCTTTAGCAGAAAAAACGAATCGAAGATAAATATATACAGGTAAAATTTGTATAGAAATGATCAAATATCCAAATATTGTACAAGTATTCTAAATCAAGAAATATGGAAGAGATTCAAAACGAATCTGCAGAGAGTCATTGTTCAAAGACAATAAACCTAGATCATGGGAATGATATTTTTTTGTGCATAGTCCTAATTTACCAAACAGTTCGTCTTATGTGCACGGAATTTAATGAGCAGTTCTTTTTGTATAAGTTTCCTCGTTAAAGATTTGACTTTATATAACTACGTAGTAGACTTGTCATGATTTTCTTCCAACTTACATGTACAAATCAGCTTATCTATGTAATAATCTAAAAAGAGAATAGTTAATAATCCTTTTGAATTCATTAAAATAAGGTTTTCAGTAATCGTAACATGTATGAAAAGAGTAATCATTCGATTCTGTTTGTTTGAATAAAACTTTCATGATCGAAACTAGCTCATTCAATCAATATGAAACTGTCGTACATTTACTGGCGAGTCCGGAAAAATAAAACTTTACAAACTATTGGTCGTATTTGTCTATTAAATTGAAATATTTAGATCAAACAAATGCATAATTAATAATGAAATATTATCAATTTACTGGTCATATATACATTTTTTTTGTATTTTACTGGCAATTCCTACAATAACATTGGTGACATTTGGTTTTCTTGCATATAGAAATATGCGTCGATTAGCTAAGTCTGGTCAATTAGCCGGTGCTGATCGTCAATTAATTAAAATGGTTTGTTTACAACTTATTCTTGTTGTTCTGGCTGCAATACCTTATGGAATTTATAATACATATATTTTATCAACATCAAATAAAAGCAAAAATGCTGAACAAACGGATCGAGATTTGTTATTTTTAACTACTACAAGTTTATTAGGTCTTTTTAATTTTGGAGTAAGTTAAATTAAAAATTTTTATTTGAAGCTAATATTATTTAATATATTAAGGGAAGTTTTTATGTATTTCTTGCTGCTTCAAGTCGTTTTCGCCAAATAGTTCGAGAACAATTATTTCGCTGTTGTAAAGTGCGAAATGAAATTAACCCTAATACAATGTCTTCAGTGAGACAACCATAAATTGTTCATTAAAAGCCATTTGAATTAGAATCTGAATTTGTCTGTTAAAACATCGTCTATAATTATTAACATATTATTCGAAACAAATAAAACATGTCTCTGTTTTTCTCTAATTATTGTTCTTGTATAAATTATATCAATAATCATTTTTTTGTTGTAAATGTCTTCTCAACAAATCAATGAATGCATAAAATAAATATTGAACAGTTGGTTTTATGGAAAGCTCATTTGTTAAATTTATCATTTTTGATGTTATGTGACAGTATCATTTTATCTTAGGTATGCAGTTCACTTCGTCTAATCAGTGCTGCTACCATTCAATGTTCACAAAGTAGAATATGAATCGGGCTCTGACAAAACAGAATGAGCAGCTAAGCTGCAGAATGGATGACAGTACAGCACCATATGTTTTATTATCTGTTTAACAACAATGGTCGCACATTCAATGAAACGTGACAAAAAACAAGAAGATCAGTTCAAAAGTCAAAGTTGTTATATATTTACAGAATATTTACTGTCTTGAAAGAACGCAGGACAAGACTATTGTTGAATACCTTCTCAAAAGTTAAAATGAAATTTTATAATGCACAATACTCTTTTGTTATGCTATAATTTATTCCAGAGATGTCCATCGTATCTAGAAATCTGTCTCTACCGTGATGGTTGTTGAGAAGCTCTTCGAAAATCTCTTCTGTCACTGTGTTAAATTAGCACAGTTAGATTGAAACAATCAGATTCATCATGATTCTGACTGTTGGACTTGCAGACACTCAGATTGGATATAGATGCATGCAATTTTACACTCTGTGTAAAAACGAAGCTGACGTTGACGCTGTGAGAAGCTACCAGGATATATTAACTTCGTTAATATCTCTGCGTGTCTATATTAGTTAGGTGTGAAAAATGTTTTTTTTTTCGAGCCAAAATTTCGCTCCGATTTCACGCTTTGTTTTCGCTTCTAGTGTTGACAGGTATGTATCAAGAAATACTGCAAGCCAACAGAGATCAAGAGAAATCACATGCTAAAAACATTGTTATCAAGCATTTAAAGTTGATTAGAGAGTCCTAAAATAAATAATATATGCTTGAGTTCTAGCGTCGAAAAAACATTCAAAGATGAGAAAGCTAAAAATCTATAGTTTTCAAATAAATGACCTCACTTTTAAAACGTTAAATTGTATTCAAGAAAAAACGGACCTGACTGCAATATGAAACGGGTAAACTATACAAAAATAAAAGGCTTTTCTTTTTGTAAAAGTGAGAAAAGCGATCCACAGTAATCACGCCATGTTCAATAGAATGCTCTACACTTCCAGCATCTTCAAACAACTCATGAGGGTATTGCTCAGAGTTTAAAAAATTGAAAGTAGTATTTGGCTGTACCTGTTGGATACGCTGCCGACGCTATTGTTTGAACATTTAGGCGAGTACGATGAAAACTTTACTAGTATTTCATTCTTTACAAAATTCGAGTCTTGAGAGAATAATAATACTTTTAAATTGGACAAGAAAAATTTTAGGCCGTCGCAAAGTAAGGGCTAACATCACTAGAGCTCTGTATGGAAACATTTTTTTTCAAATGCTTATATCGTATGGATCGACGTATTAAGAATTTGTGGAGACTTTGTAGCACATTTAAAATCTCTATAGAGTTCTAATGTAAAAAAATACTTCTCAGTTGTCGTTTTCAAATCACTACAGCTGAGCTATTGAATATTAATTAATATTTTCAGTTTAACATTGACAAAAAAAGAATATACCGAAACAGCATACCTAGTTGCAGTATTCCAAAGTGAAAAAATCTATTTGGAGTTTATTACTGACTTTTCACAAAAAGAGAACAGGAAATAAAAACTTTTCCATTCGTTATAGGCAATCTCTTAAAATTAGCTGATGCTGTACTAGTTAGTACAAAAAAACCTATCGTGGTTTTGATATACAAGTTTTGATTGAAAAAGACAAAATGCGGACATCGCTATTTTTTAAATCTGTATTGCTTTGATGTATGACAACATGAGCCAATGTTGAAAGACACATTGTTCTTACGCAAAAGCTCGTGACATACAGAATTACGCTTCACTTTTCAGGATGTGAGTATTCTCTTCACCCACACCACATCCATACTCAGAAATGAAACTGGTCTGGGTAGACCATATCGGTCGGTCTTAAATCCATACCGGCACTAGACTAACAATTTTTTGTACTATTCCATCTTTGGATCATGACCTTTGACACAGTTGATGTTCAACAAAGTTTTATTATACAGCCTCCATGAATTAATAAGAGCAAAAAAGTAAATAAGGCATATCAGTACTGACCAGTCAATCGATTACCAGCCGCTTTGTTCTACTAATAAATGGTTCGTAGCACATCAATAAAGCATTCGTACTTGAGGATTCAGAAAAAAAACAGCTAGTATTCAATCAGTGAGGCACATAAATGCAATGAGAACAGAACATTTTTTTCTCCTTCTTTAATGACAGAAAAAGCTTCTCTGAGGTTGAATATTCTAAAGCATAAATAAAGTTCACAACATACTACGATCATGAAGTGTGTTTTAAGTATAAGAAACGCCTGAAATTGCTACGTTTTCTTAACGAAAAGAAATAAGTTTGAATTGTTGACTTAACATCATGCATCTATATTGTGAATCTGAAACATATAGATGAATCCATAACAGATTTTTTACCTTCATTTTCTATTAGAGACACAGACATACCACAATAACATCTGCTCTTATTTATCTTATAACGATCATTGATCTTGGTATATCATTATGAAAATGAAACCGAACGAAACTTATTTACTTCATATATGGTTTTTTCCAAGTATAAGATTTGCTATGTGTAGAATACGTTGAACAGTAAAAATTCAGCGCGTCTCAATGCATTTTTTTTTTGAGAGAAAGATTTTTAAATGCAATCTGAATAGGCAGAGATGTATCTGCAAATAATTGAAATGAAAACATTGGAGATAATGCATTTACATGCGCTCAATATTTCTTTTTCTGCCTATGTATATGTAAATGCGTGTGAATTTTATTTGATATTATTTTGCATTGTTTTACGATCTTGAAATGCTAATTCGTTCGAAAAATGTATCGACGTATATCAAGAATGAAACGAAAATTCGTCTAAGCATTCTCAAAATTCTATGATTAGAGATTAAAATTATCCTTTAAATTCATCTTTTCTTCAATAAAATAAACAAGTTTCAATCAAATCAAATTCCCAATCTTAGAGCATCTTTCCAGCTCTCAAAACTATATTGCTTGTCCAAAATTGGCATATTAGAGGAAGAAAAAAGGCAAAATAACCTTATATCAAGCGACAGGCGTAGGAGTCCTTTGCGCATGCCGTTCTTTTTCTTCTCGTTTTTTCTTTCTCCTTGAACTTTTGCTACTAAACGATAAGAACAGAAAGACTTTTCTTATATGTAATGTGACAGTGTGACTGCTTACTTTATTAATTTTCTGCATACGACTGAAGGTGAATACTAGCGAAGTAAAATATTAGTGTTTCTAAAAAAGAAAAAGAAATAGTCAATGGCTTCTGGATTCGAAGATGAGAAGCTAAATGCTTGTTGTCTCACTGAATATCGTCCATTGCCTGGATCTCCTAGAGGGCAAATTATCAAGATCGCCGAAATTAGTACTTATCATGTTCCAGGGACAGATCATACAGCCAAAAACAAGACAATTGTCCTGTTAACTGATATATTCGGTAGGTTCTTATCTTTTATGTTGATGTTATTAATACGTGTCAAACATTGAAATAGGTCTGACAAAAAATCCACGTATCACTGCCGATGAACTATCGGAAAAAACTGGTTTCGATGTCTATATACCGGATCTATTTAATGGCGATGCAATTGCTTCATCATTTCTTCAAGGGATACCTCAAGTTCCAGGAGAAAAGATGTCGATCGGCAGCAAAGTAAGTTGTAGGCACCCAAATTAGTTATTGAGAAAACTTTTTTTTCTTTATACAGATTACCTTTGCTGGAAAATTCATTACATCGTTGGTTCCATGGTTATTTCGCCATCGACAAGCTGTCACTCTTCCTATTGTGGAAAAGTTCTTCAAAGTAAATGACTACATTATTGTTTTGTTCTTTCTTTAAGAAACATTTATTAAAAAAGGCTCTTCGCTCGGAAAAAGGAGTTACTAGAGTGCAAGCAGTGGGATATTGTTTCGGTGGCCTTTATGCATTGCTAGTCGGTAGCAAGGAACTTCATCTTGCAGATGCCATTGTTGGTTGTCATGTCTCATTGACCAATAAAACTCACTATGAACAATTGAATGTACCTGCGGCGTTTGTCTGCGCTCAAGAAGACGATCAATTTACGGATGCTCTTCGAGCAGAAGCTGAACAGATTCTCGCTCGTAAGTCAGAAATACCTAGCAAGTTTCTGTTAACGGAAGGAACAGTTCATGGATTTGCTTCTCGACCCAACCCTGACAATACGATCATTATGAATGCATACAAGAAAGGCAATGACTTCATTGCAGAGTGGGCCAAAGCTCATCTTTAACAGTTACATTCCTTCATTATTGTTACGAGCGAGTTTTTCGGATATACTCGAGTCTATCTTTATAACTAAAACAATATTCTAAATACAAGTAGAATATATTATTAAAGATCGACTGATCATCGAATAAATCAAGTTTCATTTTCATGAATGTTCAATGTGATGATAGTGAAAGAACCTTCATGTTTGGCATAATACCTGCTGATTTTTTATTCAACATATCATTTTTCTTTCATTACCAAAACTGTACAAAAACATAGCCTAAGCATTTGGAATAATGATTCTTTTTTTGGCGGTAATTATTTTCTTGCTGTGTTCTATCAATCGCACGGAATTCAACTGTGTAACAATCTTATGCTATTTTGTGTGTATATTAACTAGATAGAGTATCATAGTATAAATGATTGATTGATTTTTTTATATAAAAAAGTAACTCAACTTTATGAGATATAGCTATAGAACATCGGGAAAATAATGAGCATTGGTATTCAAAACAATTTATTCAATAAGAAAATTCCTTTGATAATATGATGTTTGCAGATTTCACCAGTTTTGTTTCTTTCGAACAAACTGATGCCCATATCTGATGATGCACCATAACAAAAGTATTACTTAAAAATTCTGAATATCACTTGCCTTCCTATCCTTGTCATGTGCATCAAATATTGTTAAGAACTATTTTGATTTTACATTTCTTGTTACTGTAGAAAACTTCATTTGATTCATTATTCAAAGAAAAAAAAGCAAATCACAATTTCAACAGGCATTCGCTATCTATTCTCAAACGGTTTCAAAACTAAGAGGTGATTATTTTAGGGCGGAAACTCGGCAAACGATTATGATTATAACTAATGTAGTGACTGATTTGCATTTGGTTCAATCTCAATCAACTCAATGCTATTAGATATAAGAATATTAAACAACAGAGTTGCGACATAGTTTTAATCTTAAAATGAGATGACATTATGTACTTGTTTCTTTATATAGTGATAAAATCGAGACTTGTATTTCATGAATCTCTCGATGGCAACTCACATTCACATATGCACCTTCAGCAAGTCTACTATATCTGCTTCTCGGAAATCAATGATATTTGTATCTAGATTTGAATATTTCATCATCGCATAAAGTTCAAAATGTTGTGTTGATCCAGTCTATTCGAGACTGATGTGAACTGGTTTCAATTATAACTTGGAGTTACATTCTTTTGATAGTTCGTCAAAGTGGTCAATCGAACGGTCCAAAATGTTTCACTAGATTACAATCAATTTTCAATTTCAATCACATATTCCTTAATCAGCATCCTTAGGTTTGTAAGATTTGAAAATAATTAATCGATTAACTAACAAAAAAGATTTTCGAAATCGCTGTAGCTCTCTCTCCATGGGTCTGAAAAAGTGTAAAATTTTTTCACAAGCTTTGCAAGATATATTATGTGATCCTTTCTGTTCAAGTTCACTTCTTAATTCTTATCAGAAACAAATTTTTAAAAGATACACAGAGCCAAAAATTGATTCTATCACAAAATAACATTTCACTTGAAATTCAATTTTCAGATGAAACAATTATTTGCAGAGATTATTTCTCTCCAAGAACAATAGAAAAGGATTGGAAGAAAGATAACAATACTTAAAAGAGAACAGCAAAAAGTGAACTATTTCGTCATTTTTCAATTTTTCAGTCTAATTTTTTTGAAACTAAAAAAGCCTCGAATTTACATTAAAATGTCTTGTCTGGCTATTTGTGTTAAATGCATGATTACATTGCAAGAAAAAGTACAGAAACTAAAGAGAGATTTGCGAAAGTTTCATATTTATAAAAAAAATAAAGATTTTCAATGAGGCAGGATCATTTGAACCATATTTGCGCAATTTTGCATTGATGATTGGTCACCTTGGTGTTATCGAAATTCGTATGATCGGTTGGCTGCATTTAGCCTTGAACGAAATTTTCTTAATATTCTCGTAACTCCGTGAGTAACTGTACATTTCGGCTACTTGATTTTTATCACCCATGTTATTCCAATTGTACTGCTTCCCGTATCGCTGACCACACTTCCCAAACTATTTACGATCTGTCTCTATTACTATTTTTGTTCAACCATTATATATTTCTATATCAGATAGAGATAAATGATTATTCGAGTAAGAAAACAAGAGCGAATAAAGATATGAGTGTGGATGTGTCGGCATGGAGGAATAAACAATCCACACCTCACAACTTATTTTTTGTAACTGTCCTTTTTTTAGCATCAGATCATTTTGAGAAAGAAAGCATCCTCAATTGCTCAACATTGCCAAAAACTCTTCAAACGTCTACCATAATCAACTTTGATATGAATCGAATAAAATGATCTTCAACTCAAGTTTAAAACAAATGAACTGGTCAATAGCGTCAGTTAATATGAATTTGAACTTTTCTATGCCTAGTTGCAACTCTTTATCAAAGTCAACAACGATATTTCAAAACAGTAGTTGTCTATATTTATCTCATTAACATGATCTACAACCACTTCTTGGTCACTTTTAAAAAAATAGTCCATGAATCAAAATATAGCAGAGATATTCAGCTTTTTTTCTTCGGTATAATAACTTATGAACTACCCAGTACATACGGAGTAGATCTAAGGTATAGACATCGATTAAATATAGTAAGATAAGCATAGATATAGACGAATAGACAAGATACAGGGAAATAAACAGAGATACACGCATAGAACTTTAGATATACGTGCATATTTATTAGAAAATCATTAAATAGTAGAATCTTTAAATGAATGTCAAAAATTTTCTTCTGGTTCATCGCAAACATATTGCTGTGCTCTGTTCGATTTTCTTCTTTCATTTTTGATAGAGTAAACGGGCTTTGATCATGATTCTTTCACATAAGTTGGTTGACCAGCACGCTGCAATTGTATTTGAAGCATCATTCATTTCACTCAACCGAGCTTCCAGGTCTCTGACTTGTTCTTTATAAAATGTCAGTATGATGTTGCCAAAACTACCATGCAATCTAATATGTTTTCGTCATAAAATCCCTGCAATCCAAGAGACTGATTATTTGACTGCATAAAAAAGACAACCCCAATTATTTCAAAATATTTCACATGATCAAGAGTAAATCCAATTATGGTAAGAATAAGACCTATACTTATTGTCAATAAGAACACATAAAAACAGAATCCACTAGGGCGTGTTTTATCGATAAGAGAAATCGAATAGAATGAAGCCGCAGATTATGCAGATTAATGAGATGAGCACCGAAGCGTCTCCCTCTAATGAATGAGTCAGTGTATACTGGTAATAGTTACAATACGGACGTATTCTAACAGACGGAATAAGATACACTGACTTTTACGATTGTTTACTCATATCAACTAATCTACTTAGTGTAAAAAGAAAAAAGGGCACTCTTGAGTGAGACATTAGCTCTTATCCATTCTGCGCTCTGAATTCAACAAGAAACCGTTAAATATCTTTTCATTAAAACCCTTTTCTTTCTTGTCTAAAATGCCCATTGTTCAAAGATGGCGCTCAAGGAAACATCTTGAAATACCATATTATATTAAAATCCATTCATTTGGACTAGAAACTACTTTCTTTTGAAGGTTTCTAAAAAAAGGCCTTTTCAGAAAAATCCATTTTTCCGAATTGAAAATTATCTCACAATAAGGTAGCCATGAAATAAAGATCTTCATTTATTCAAGAAACTTTTATTATTGTATAAGCTTTTCCACCACCAAAAAAAACCTTTTCAATAAGGATGTTGTATAAAACTACTGCTTTTCATTGTAGACAGGATTTTTGTAGCTGAACATTAATTTTAAATGAGGTAGCCTTCAAGAATAAGATTTTCCAAAGTTCAGAAAAACTTTGTTGGCTAGGCGTAGGACACTTACGGCTAAGAAGTAGTACTAGTATTCTGTATAGTTAAAGAAAAAGATGTTAAGACTTTTTTTTTTCTAAAGGGAATATTGTATGAATAGTAAATGATAAGATATGCAAACACTCAATCCAAACTACATATTCATCTTTTAACTCACAGTGGATGATATTGTTGCTAAAGTGGAGTGGGTGTGAGTGTTAACTTACCCCACATCCACACCAATTTCAGACCATCCAAACAACCTTTTGAAATAAAAAGAAACGTATATCAATTTCTCAATGTTGGCATATTTGTTTACCGCCTACACCATTTATTAATTTAAATCGTGTTGTGTTCCATTTTAATGTAGTCTTTCAATATGTAGCCCAATATTATTGTAGTCTCGCTCTCGTATTTTCTCTTATAATACACTCTAATTGTATTCTTTTGGCCAAGCATGGGCTATTTGTGTGACTCAATTATCTAGTTCAATTTAATTGATAAAAACGTGAATGATAGAATTCAAAGCAAGATGTATCCTTTATTTAGAATTCAGATCATCTTGACCAATTACACAGCAAACATTATATGACATTTTAGCTAAACTATTTATTTTCTTCTATCGACCCACGAAAAAATTGAAATTATGTTTGAGGAAAACTTTTTTTTGAGCTGACATGTATTTCTTAAAATGAGACAATGAAATCAATATTTGTCTCGGTATTTTTCTATCGCATTTTGTCAGCTTAAGTAATTGAAAAATTGATGAAATAATATATTATAGCGTTGTTACAGTTTCTCATCTATAATAAAATTTATTCACCTGAAATTGTGTATTTATTTACTACTCACTAGTTAGTTACAATAATCTGCTAAAGCCTAAAAAAACTTTCCTTTGGTTAAATACAAGAACGATCAGTTTTAAAATCAAAACAGAACTTTTGAAGCATATGGCTAGATATTAATACAATTTAATTGAAAAAGTCGTGAGCAAACATGAGTTAAAAATAAAATGAGTCACTAATGTTCAGAAAGAGAAAGTATTACATTGAATAAATCTTTAAAAAAAAACAAATGTTTGATACACAATTACATAGAGATTTAGCTATTAGAATTTTGTCGAAACAGAATTTGAATCTATTTGCCAAATTCTGGAGTTGGTCCAGCCGACTTGATTTGTGTATTTTCAATGACAAAATGCCAATCAGCTGTTGGATTTTCAACACCCTCGAAAGGTGCTTGCAATTCTAGTTTTGTTCCATTGGATAACGTAACTTCAATGCGATCGACCACTTCACGAATGTTGTATGTACGCCGAGTAATTAATCTTTCCGAAAGATAACGTGTTTTACCCTTCTCTACATCCATATTCAAACGTGTATTCTTAATTTCTCCATTATCATATTCAATACCTTCGTAAATGAGTACAACTTTAGCATCATAATCTGAGACATTCTTCAAGGCACAAGCATAAATTTTACGACGATAATTTCTATCGCCTTGAGCACTCATGATTGGATGTAAAATTGATCACTATTAAATGAATAAATGCTTATCGACGTATGAAGGTAAGAAAATGAAACGGGTGAGATATTACGGTGAGACGGAATTTCGCCAATAAGAATTTCGCCAACGGAATTTCGACAGTGTCCATTTTCCAGTGTAATTTCAAAATTTTTCGAAATTCCACTGGCAATTCGACAATATTGTCGAATTNAATGGACATCTCAGTATTTTAGTAATATCTCTGCTAGTCAATGAATCTTTTAACCGGAGTTTTGTCAATTTTTAGCATTCTACTTGTGAAACATGATAAGCCATTTTGAAGCTCCTGAAAAGTTTGTTTTAGGTCACCGCTGAAAATTCCATCCGACGCTTGAACTTTTGTTTGACTGAGTTATTTCCTTGTGTACATATTTCGAATTTATGGCAGAACTAGAGTGCCATTTTAATAAACTGTTGCGACTATGTTCTGAGCTCATGTTTTAAAAGTAAGTAGTTTTGTCGCCTTGAAGGTAAATGGTACCTCTATTAGACTTAAGCAGCGCTCTGGTATTCATCGCATATTTTATATAATATGTGGGAAGAGATCACGATTTATCATGTTTCTACGTGGTTGTGTAAGAAATGGCATCTTATGTTCATCGCCAGCCTGCTTGAACGAACTTCACTGAAGGTAGCGAGAGTGGACACACGTGAGAATATTGAAAATCAAAGATGAGAGCACTCGGGTATCTGTTCTATCGGCTAGAAAAGAAAAATTGGCACTTCGAAAAACTGCAGTTAAAAATTCGTTGTTTTAGAGTCGTTTTGTCTTCAACCTACAATTTGTCATCTTTACTTTAAATATTAAAACGCTTTTCTACAGTTTTGTACAGAATTGAATGAGGAATCATTTCATAAAAAATCTTAGTTTGAACGATTGAGAACTAACACAGATATTACTAAAATACTGAGAGGTCCATTATTCCTGGAACACCTACTACATTTCATTTCTTTCGTTCTGTGTAGATATAGTTATTAGCTCTAGTACTCTCTAGTGAGTTCTCGTCTCTCTTCAACTTTCTAGCACATTCTTTGGATTTCTAAAACTCTTTATATACATATATACCAGTCATTTGTAGCAATAAAGTTCGTTATACGTACGTGATAAGGAAGACTTTCCTTTGACTAGCAACTGTTTAGTGGTTGACTACCTTTACAAAATGCAATCAATTCCAGTTGGATTTCTGCAGAATCGAGTGCATCGTTTTCAAATGTATTGGTTGGGTTTTTCGCATCCGTACAATGAGCGTATCAAAATTTATTTTTATCAACATAATGATAGTAATGTTTCATATGAAAACCCATCATATATGAATAAATCTTTAGGTCCATTATAATCACGTTTATTTACTGTGCTTGAAATTGCTACCATAGTTACCGAATATATAAATGAACTGCTAAGATTGATACCAAAACGTTATATACTGTGTGCCAAGGGAACACGTTTTGTTACTCAGTTAATTCTTACTGTAATCAATTTATTTCTTATTTTCTCCTATTGGATGGAAGCAGATAAAAAGATAACTGTTAAAGATAGCTTTAAAAACAACACGTAGGTTATAGATGAAAAAAAAGCCTGTATCTTATCTTCTTTTTTTGCAACTTGCTCTATTGATATTTTGTCCATGTCAGTTTGAAAATCTCGTTGGATTATCAATATCACTAAGTTAAATTATCTTTCATCCTCTTACTATTCTTAAATAAGTTATAAATCATTCTAATAACGAAAAACTATACTTATTCACAACAGTTGAGTGGTATGTATATACGACGCCGGTGAATCTTTTAGGTGCGGTATACATATATGTTACTAATAATTATTTTGCATTCGGCAGTTGCTGTCTGATGGCCTTGCCCATGTACTTGGAAACAAAAACAAAGAAACCGGCTACAACAGAGCTTCTTTGACCATTCTAGAATTTTCTATTGGTAATCGAAAATTCATAAACAGAAGAAGAGCAAAAAACACCCACATCCTCAAATGCGCTAAAAATTTGGATTTAGAAGTTTGAGATGATGCTGAATAAAATGAGAACGTCAAATCAAAAGACTAAATTTTACCAAGTACTTCGATATATGGTATTATCCTCGACGATCCCACGGACTCTCTTAAGCATAATAGGCACCCTATTATATTTAAGAAATCTTTGCTTTGCTTTAAATTTATACATTAAATGAGGGACGATTCAATAAAGAAACTTTTCAATTTAGTCTATAAAATAATGCAGTGTTAAAACGACCTGATGAACGACGCTTGAGAAAGTTCGAAGCTATAGTCGTAATATATCTTAAATAGAATATACATCCCACATGCCTGATGAAGCCCTTAAACAAGGTCGAAACGTCGTATACTACTTTGAATCTATTTTATTCTGTAGTGCTTAACATATCCTTTTGATTTTAACTACGATTAGAATGATAATCTATGTTTTAAGATACCCCTTTCGATATTGTCTATACTTTAAGTTGTTAGTCTTTGACTTCCATATTGATTTATTCACAAATTTTCGAATTATTAAGGTATTCTCATAAAATATTTTACTGATTATATGTAGTTTGATAGATTCGAAAGATACCTGGTAAGCCTCTTAAGCAAGAACGAAACGTCATATACTGCTTTGAATCTATATTTGTTTTGAGTGTTTAACACACCCCTGCTATATCTTATCTGCTTTTATGGTACATATCGCATTTTTTTATTATTTTCTGTTGCTGCCCACATATTTTCTCTTGTGATACATCGCTCTGAAAGAAAAAGAAACATCGTCAAAGCATTACTTTTTATGAGAAGGAGAGATATGCTTTGAAAATGGAGATGCATATATATATATATATCATGATAGATAATGATACTCTTCTTGCTGGGACAGGCCTTGAGCTTTTTGGTGTTGGAGTAGAAAGCGTCAGAAAATCAAATCAAAACAGAACCAGAGCAATTAACAGTATTCTCAAGCTGCCTACATCATGTACAACTTTATTCCCTATACCATTGGATGAACGGACGAACAATTTTTGAGGCCAAGCTGAATTGTGACTTGGATTCAAGTCATTCTTAAAAAAACCAGGATTTCACAAAATAACTTAGCGATTCGGCCTTGCTTTTATCATGAATATATATATACTGTGTTCATTCGATTCGAATTCTTGACTAGCAAAAGTTGACTAAAGGATAATTATTGACGGGGAATCCGAATCTGATATTAGATTGTGATTTTAACAATAATCAAAGTCTAATATCAGACTCGGATTTTTGGTCTATGATTACCCTTTGATCAACTTTTCATTAGTGAAGAATTCGAAAATTTCCACTGAATTAACGTTTTTTACACTCCTGTTTTTTTATTACATGTTTACAAGTTGACTTTCATAAAAGGATCATGACAAAAAATGGAAAGATAAAGCAAACCAAATTTTAAGATAAATTAACTCAATTACATAAAAAATGATTTGCTTAGATTTGAGAAATAAATTTTTTTGAGCAGCGAATTGCTGGAAATTAGATGGGGCATCCAATAATCACACTCGTTGGATCATAGTGAGGAATTTGAAAAGAAGGTGACCTCAATTGCATTTGAGTTGGATTAACCCTCTCTAATCCTAGAAAGGTTGAAAATTACTCTCTTTCTCATATGCAGCTTAAAACTTTCTGCTTAAGACTAAAAATCTTGCTCAACCCCACTCTCCGACTCGAAGCTTGTCCCTAACAGTAAAGATATCCTGACTTCTTCTCTTTCAATTGATGAAAATCGCAGATTGATAGCTCAAACTAGTGCCAAGATATTCAAAAAAACAATGGAGTCCATTTAAGTATGGCGCTAACAATAGTTGCTAATTCATCAAAACCATTATAACCACGCCAATTTCGTCTAATTTCAATTTTTTTACAAGTAAAATTTTCAGAACAATGAAAACCACCTTTTGTTGGCGAACGATATGTATCAGGTATCATTAAATCTGGCTTTGCCACGTTACTTAAGCACATAACAAATGAAATAAATCAAAATAAGTCAAGAAAAAGTTATTTTCTCATACTTTAAATTGGCACCGTTTCTAATACAATGGAATGTAAGTGATCCAAAAACTGTACATCTAATATGGCATATAAACTCATAAAGAATAGAAAAAACACGGTTACATTAACTTGTGAACTCGAACGTCTAAATTTTAAAAAAATCCATAGTTTACATAATTAGCAATCATTTTTTTTATTAACATACTGAAGCATAGATTTAATCTGGCTTTTAAGTAGTTCAAATTTAAGAAATATTTTAAGAACTTTTATAAGAATAACTGGACGTGACAAACAAATTAATGTCAAGTAGAAACATTCATTCATAATACCAATAAATTCGAACATCTATGAATAAAAAGTAAAAGTAGAAAACATTTAGAAAAAAAAACATCCAATAAAAATCTTTTACTTGTAAGATAATAGAAAAATAGATGCTTAAAACCATAATCGCATCAAAATGACTTCATCGATCACGTAAATAAGATAAATCACCAGTAAATATTCTCCGAGCTTTCATTTTTGCAGCCGCTTCAATCGTTCATATAATTGCACAAGTTATATCGATGCTAAATATAGTATATTGAAGCAATGGATCATATTCAAAATGTTTTTGGTGTATTCTTACATGTTGAAATAAAACTTAAAAGACCAGTAAGACGAAATATATATCAAGTTATTGTTTTTTTCGTCCGCTCGAGATTACCACCCGTTGAATCTTCTTGCCTATAATCTATTAATGGAACAAAATCACTATGAAAACTTTGTTTTCTCATCAATGTTATCATCGATGAAATGGTAACGCCAGCCGATGAGACTGCTGCTGCCATTCTATTTTCTTATTATATTTGTCTACAAGAAAAAGACAAAAAGAAAGACCTCGACCAATTGAGGATTAGTAGGGTGTACAAAGCAAAGAGAAAGAGAACAAAACGAATTGTATACGATCTAATATGGACAGAAGGAGGATATATTTTGGCTCGTGATTTTCTATTATTTGCTATTCAGAATTATATACAGAAAACGTTACACGAGTATGAAATAAATGAGAATCTTCCTTGAGTCAAGTAGCACATGCTGTCGTTGTCGTCTTTTGGAAAATATAGAAAATGATGATGACATCGTTTTTGTTTCTCGTCTTCTTCTTTTTTTTCTGTTTGCTTTTTTGCTTCTTTGCAAACAAGAAAATGCAATGTCCACTAGATAATTTTAGTCTTATTCGTCAATTGACTTTTGTGGAACTCACATATGCTTTCGAAGAAAATGGTGAGTGTAAGTTTAACAACGAGTTTTTCTGGCTTCCCTCACCATTACAGATATCCCCTAATGACAGACCTTAGCAATCGAGAATAACAAGCGTCAGATTTCCTAGAGTTTCTTTTTGCAAAATTCATCGACTGATAATTTTGAAAAATAATGAATATCATTATTTGTGAGTTGATTAATGTATATCATAGTGCGTAAGATCTATTGTAGATATCATGAATATGTAAAACAGACTTATTTGTCACTTAATCCAATGATTATAATAATAAGAATGTTAAATTAGGAAAAACGAATTAAAAAAAGAAAATAATGAGCGAATAGCAATAATGCAAGCAAAAAATTAGACGCCCGTAGAAAAAAATAAAAAAATTCTGTTCGAAATGAAGAAATTAGCGAGGTCATTATTCTGGACCTCGATTATTCTGCAAAAAAGCTATAGTCCACGAGAGGTTTATCACTTTACGTATTTTGTATTAGTTTAATGAGGCTAGAGAGCATATGTGAGTTCCACATTTCAGCCCCAAAAGGGCTGTGCTAACAAGCTTTTCTTTCCACAATCTTCCTTTCTATTCTCTATTTCCTCATAGACGAGCCTTGGGGGACATAACATCATGTAGAATAATGTCGACTAGTCAAGGGGGAAACATCGTACTTTTGTACTTTAAAGTACGTAAAGTACATTAAAGTACTTTAAAGTACCTTAAAGTACCTTAAAGTACATTAAAGTACTTTAAAGTACATTAAAGTACCTTAAAGTACTTTAAAGTACCTTAAAGTACTTTAAAGTACATTAAAGTACATTAAAGTACGAAAGTACAAAAGTACGATGTTTCCCCCTTGCGACTAGTACACACGAGAGAATTTGAAATTGCATCTTTATGCTACTGACAACAGGAAGTAACTTGTCTCGATCTATTGCAAGTTGCATGTTCCTTATTAATAGCACCTAAAAAAAGAGATTAGCATAATAATCTGATCGGTACTAGAGGGACAATCAAAACAACAATTCTACTAAACATACACTTGTCGTATCTAATATGTTCGCATGTCATATTTCATTACATTTTCCCAATTAATATACATATATATGTAAGAATATGTGAATCGATTGACATTGAATTACAAGCTTTTTTTCATAGTCCTCACTTATCCCTTCAGTTTTTTATTTCTAGAATTTATCTAGTCCAGATATGACCGATTAATTCAAAACTTCATAAAACAAACAGACAAACAAACAGGACTATGTAAACAGATATTCACAGTGATTAGCAAGTAGTCAAGTTCTATTGCTCTACAGAGATATAAGGAAGAGTGCTAATTTTCTTTCATGTAACCAGTTATTTCTTTTTACATTCTGTTGTCTGGAACGTACTGCTTGGCTTCAAAAGAAGAAGCGTAAAAGTAGCTGATGAACAACTTACATACACACATTGATAACATCCAGAAGGAACTATCTTTATTCTATCGTCATTTCTATTCGTCTATAATATTAGTTGAAGAGGTATTATACGCAAAAGAAATGGATGTGAATGTGCATGAATGTTACAGAAAATGCAATAAGACCAACCAGCTTCGCTCTATCCTACGAGTGATAATGGCAATTACATAACGATCGTACTGGAAGAACAGTGAGAAGACGAGCACAACATAGATTGTATCTGAATAGTAGCCGTCGAGTTGTGTGAAAAGGAACAAAGAATGAAAGAGGTAAAGAAGAAAATCTATCTGTCTCTCGTGATAAAGCTACTATACAGATTTAAAAGATAGATAAACGCGGAAATTACAGAAATATGTAGTTGCAGTTTGATGAGGCAGAAAGCAATGCCTATATTGAGTTTTCATTGTTTTTCTCATTTTTCTTTATTGTAAACATTCTACAAAATAGCACTTCTAACCGAAATAGAATACTATTGTAGCTTAATAAGTTGAACCAGGCATGAAATATATCTCGTTGCGTGTTGCCTAATTCTTAGAAAAAGAAAGTGTCATACTTTCTTTTTCTTTCTAGACAAAAAGAAAACTTTGTTAATTATCATTGAATGAAACAACTTTCAAGATTTTTTTCTTTGAAGTTAAAATAAAAATTCTTTATTCTCCGAACATTTTTTCTGCTCTACAGATGTTATTCATTCATTCATTTTTTTGTTGAACAAACTACTAGTGTTGATTGCATAGGAATTTTACGTCGACAATTAGCGCGTAGGAGCAAAAAAAAAAAGAAATACGTATCAATCATTTTCTTTTTGCCGATAATAGCAAAGCAAAGAGTCAAATGTTAACATAACCGAAGAATCAATTATTTACGCTACCTTTATAGAATGCAATCGGAATGCATCTGAATATATTTTATTAAAATAAAAATTGCACAAATCAATGTCTATAAATAACAAAACCTTTGCATTATATTTGTCTGAATAAATAAAAAAATAATATCAGAATGTTCACTCAGGAACTTTTACACTTTAGGACCCCAAATAATCAACTTTCTTACCCTCACCCACACTTTCGTGCTTGTGTGTAACCAGTCAGATGCCTGGGGTTCTAAAGTGTAAAAGGACCAATTTATCACAATTACTTTTTGGCTTAGCTCGAGATGAACAAACAAATTATACATTTCGTGATTTACAATTAGGTCAACCAGCAAGACGATTTCGTGAAGCAGGATTCAATAAATTCCGTAAGAATTCTTCTCAACATTATTAACTGGCACATTAATAATGTATGATCATATATTTAGCAGATAGTAATAGATCGATTGATTTCTTTGCTGTTTTTCGACTCCTTGTCCATGATATGCTCAAATCAGGTGCTATTGATATTGTTTATATGATGTACAAAGTAATTTTTATATCTTAGACTAATTATCTCTTTTAATACTTGTGTATTATTCATTGAAAGGATCCTGGTTTTTGCTGTGCTAAACAAAAATTTCTGGGTTTATTAACAAATGTTACAACAATAAATGAAGTTGGATATTTTATTCTTGATCGTTATACACAATTTCTTATTAGACTTATTCAAGGTATTCGTGATGGACATTTAATTGAAGAAAAAATTCCATCATTATCTGTTCTTATACGTTTATGTAAAGTTATTGTCGAAAAAATCTTCTTAATTATTATCAACATTTAATTGATATGCAATCTATTGATATATTAATTGATCTTTTTGAATATCAACAATATAAATCCAATGATTCAATTGTTTATTTTATCAAATTTGAATCACTTGCGCTTCAATGTCTTTATATTACATGACAATGTGCTGAACATGTAGATATGTGGTCAGAAAGTATATCTAAAACAATAAAGAATTCGTATCTTGTTAATCATGGTTTTCTTTTTCATTAATGATAGAAGCTCAAATTCGTCTAGTGAATTATTGTTGTAAACTTTTGTATAAATCAATATTGGATAATGATAAAGATGATAGGTCACAACGAATAGAAATTAATCATATAATTTATGCTGAACAACATGGTATAATTCATTCATTATGTTATAGTATATTAACATTTTAAAGTATTGTTCGATGTCGAAAAGAAATTGAAAGATTTTATCGTGAAAATGAACATTTTCGAGAATTACTTAATGCTATGTAGAGACCTGCGGAGTCAACTTTTTTCATTCCAAAACCCGACTCCGACTCTGAAAAATTTCTTTCTTCCGACTCTGACTCCGATTCCGAAATCTTTCTTTTTACGACTCCGATTCCAACTCCGATTCCGAATATTTTTATTTTTTGACTCCGATTCCGACTCCGAAAAACTCCGAAATTTTTTAACAATGTCATTTAAAAATAAAACGTTCTCAGCAGCCAAAGGACTCTTTAATGACTTAACATGCGCACGTTTTACACTAAAAATCTCAAGTT